ATCATTATCTAGACCTGTGAGCCACGAGCATCGTGGTGGCTTTTATCACTGACCTGTACTCCCCGGTCGACTCGGGCTAAAATGTGTATAATAAAATTGACTGGAAGTAACGGTGACCGGCGTGATGCTGACCACATCACCCATCAGTTCAGAATCAAGTCTTGGGGTATTTCTGTTCAGCGCTATATGCACAGTGAACCAGTGGCGTGAAACGGGTCCTTCATTTTACTTGTCATCATCCGCTTGAAATACTTTGATTGAATATAGACTTGTCAATGATATAAAGAGGGATAGATAGCAGCATCCCATCCCAGTAACGAATACTGAGCACAAACAACCTTTCTGTGACGCACTCACGAACATTGTGCGACATTCCATTGAGTGCATTCAGTTAGTACTGTGCAGACATTGAATACTCACCCTTGCGGTCTTCGCTAACAGAGCCTGAGCTGTGTTGTGATGTGCTGTCTGGAGTCCAGCTCAGTCGCCGCCGCTGTCCAGGGGCTACTTCTGTCCGAGAGATGCTTGAACTGATGAGTTTGTCCAGAACTAGGGCCTGTCGCTGGTTCTCTGAGTGTGCGGACAGGTTTAGGGCATTTAAACTTTGGCTTATCACCATCCTTTCTAACTGCTGGATCTCTAGGCTATATAAATGTTTCAGTTTGTCTTCAGATGGTATTTCTGGCGCTGTACTGTTGTCACTCACAAGACTTGATGGCTTTGATTCCTCATTGCCTGCACATATTTCATTATGGCCTGCATCTGAGATGTTTTAGAATACCCCTGATCCATATTGTCACTTTCCTTTGAAAGGGCGCAATTGATGGCTGTAGTATCGTCGATTTGAATACTATGAGAATGCAGTTCTTCACTTTTTGTGTTAGTTTCATGGATCGTTTTATTACTTCTGACATGAATTTCAGTACACAAGGCACTCGATGGCAGTCTTGTTTCTCCAGTTGTATACCTAACAAGTGTTTCTCCTTGAGTGATATCTTTGTTTGATTCATGTGTATGAACCTGGCTTGAAGGCTCTACAAAGTTTTGTTTTGGATCAGGTTGGTAGTAATCCGCACTAGGTGTAGCAGTATATTTATCTTCGCGAATAATATCACAGCTAACTAGTTCAGATCTGTCATGTGTTATAGCTGTGCTGTATTCTGCCTGATTACTGTAGTCGTTCAAATCTGTCATAGCGTCACCAAAATCAGCTGATGGACCCCCGCTTCCATCTGCACAACCACCTGGTACGGCACCTACATCTGTCAAAGCCGTTTGAAGTTTGGCCTGTGTATTATAGGCTGTGTAATTTGTCATATCACCCACATCATCTGATGAATCTATGCTTCCATTTGTGCACAAGGCATCCATCCTCGGCATGCTGGAACCTGGTGATCTGCGCCAGTCAGTGTTGTAGCCTGCAGTTTCTTCTGAACATTGTGATACACTCGACACGTCATCAGCTGATGAGTCCTTTAAATTGTGGATTGTGCATGTGACTTGACCACGTTGTAGAAGTGGCTGTAGTTTGTCGACATCATTGCTGTCTGCGGGCATTTTCCTCAGTTTTTTGCCGTGGCGTTTTCATATCTGTGCCTTTCAATGCTGTGGTTACTGGGCTTGTGTCAATTAATTGCCTGCGCTCTTAAGTGTTCAGTCAGATGTCAGAGTTCTCTGTGAGTGCTTCTAACCGGAAAGCATGTACTCTGTAACAGACATCATAAGTTAGTTGCGTATACTTTACAGGACGTCACAGAACCAACTCCAACATTTGATGTTTCTGATTTCTCTAGGCAAAATTACGTTCAGCTGTTTGCCATTGCTTTTTCAACGGCCGGCTCTCGGTACACATATTGAAACCAACGCAATGTGGTCTCCTGCCCAATCGCCCGCAGTTGGGGATCGAACATGACACCTTGGAATTACATGGCGCGTTTTCACAGACGCTGACAACAGACAGCATATATGTATTAAACACACTTTACATCTTATCACAAACATAACCATATGTGTATTGCGCCCCCCCCCCCCCCCCCCCCCACTCCCCACTCCCTCTCTCCATCTAGCACAATGTGAAATTTGTGCTGTCTATGTGATTTTGTGTGCCGACTCATGAACACATACATCAGCTGTTATTTCTGTCTTATTTCTTTCTGCCGTTTCAGCTTAATAATGAAGTTGGTGTTCTTTATTATTTGTTGTCATTATGTTTAAGCTTTCTACATACATCTGTTTCTTTCTTTCTCTTCATCCATAGCTTAGTGTTTTCCTACAAAAGGATACTTTGATTACTTTTTTTCCTGATATACCTCAACAATTACTTTTTTCCTGATATACCTCAACAATTACTTTTTTCCTGATATACCTCAACAATTACTTTTTTTTCCTGATATACCTCAACAATTACTTTTTTTCCTGATATACCTCAACAATTACTTTTTTCTTGATATAGCTCAACAATTATTTTTTTCCTGATATAATTCAACAATTACTTTTTTTCCTGATATAATTCAACAAATACTGTATTCCTGATATACCTTAACAATTACTTTTTTTCCTGATATACCTCAACAATTACTTTTTTTTCCTGATTTACCTCAACAATTACTTTTTTTTCCTGATATACCCCAACAATTACTTTTTTTTCCTGATATACCCCAACAATTACTTTTTTCTTGATATAGCTCAACAATTATTTTTTTCCTGATATAATTCAACAATTACTTTTTTTTCCTGATACAATTCAACAATTACTGTATTCCTGATTTACCTCAACAATTACTTTTTTCCTGATATACCTCAACAATTACTTTTTTTCCTGATATACCTCAACAATTACTTTTTTCTTGATATAGCTCAACAATTATTTTTTTCCTGATATAATTCAACAATTGCTTTTTTTTCTTGATATAATTCAACAATTACTGTATTCCTGATATACCTCAACAATTACGTTTTTTTCCTGATTTACCTCAACAATTACTTTTTTTCCTGATATACCTCAACAATTACTTTTTTTCCTGATATACCTCAACAATTACTTTTTTCTTGATATAGCTCAACAATTATTTTTTTCCTGATATAATTCAACAATTACTTTTTTTTCCTGATATAATTCAACAATTACTGTATTCCTGATATACCTCAACAATTACTTTTTTTTCCTGATATACCTCAACAATTACTTTTTTTTCCTGATTTACCTCAACAATTACTTTTTTTCCTGATATACCTCAACAATTACTTTTTTTCCTGATATACCTCAACAATTACTTTTTTTCTTGATATAGCTCAACAATTATTTTTTTCCTGATATAATTCAACAATTACTTTTTTTTCTTGATATAATTCAACAATTACTGTATTCCTGATATACCTCAACAATTACTTTTTTTTCCTGATTTACCTCAACAATTACTTTTTTCCTGATATACCTCAACAATTACTTTTTTTCCTGATATACCTCAACAATTACTTTTTTCTTGATATAGCTCAACAATTACTTTTTTTTGATATAATTCAACAATTACTGTATTCCTGATATACCTCAACAATTACTGTATTCCTGATATAGCTCAACAATCTCAAGTAGTTTACTTGCGGTTGTGATGAGTGACTTCGTAAATTCCGAACTCTGGTTGTCTAGTTGTCTGTTTGTCTGCCTCTCTGTCTGTCTGTCTACATGTCTATCGTTATATTTATTGATTGAAATGGCGTACAAAAGAAGTGGGGCTAGAAGAGCAAACACTTAGACTTAGTTAACCCTTTGAAAATAGTACGTTCGTTCGTTCTGTTGATCTCTTTAACTGTCCTTCCATTTCTCTGTCCCCTTGCCCGTCTGTCTATCTGCATATCCATCTATCTAATCGTTTTCTACCCGCTCACGTTTTTCCAAAAGAAAATATTCAATAGTCACAATAAACTGTATATACCATGCTGGTCATGTATAGCTCAAGTGATTGTTGCCGAATGTTACATGGTTTGTTAAAGTATCAAATCGTGTAATCGTCATTGATTAACTGGTACAACTAGAATATGACATTTTACTATATCCCTAAATTGTCACTGGTGAGGTATCGTTGTTTTCTTTTACAACAAAGGTTAAACGAATAAACTGTTCGTGTCACTTCGGTTGTTAACCGTCAATTTTTAAGTTGTCAAACAGTAGTCTTTGATTATTACGTTTTAATTTTGTAACATTCTTTTTCTTCTTCTTCTTCTTCTTCTTCTTCTTCTTCTTCTTCTTCTTCTTCTTCTTCTTCTTCTTCTTCTTCTGCTGCTGCTGCTGTTGCACATGGCAAGATGACTAACACAGAAAGCTATAGAGCTGAGACTTCTAAGGGAAAGCCAGCCTCAGTATAATCAACATGTTTATGTATACGTACTAGAGAGTGCCACTTCCTGGAAGGACTTTATTCATAGCAGATGCTTTCCCTTAAACCAGCGGCGCAGCTCCATGATCCATAAGGACTGACGGCGTCTGCACACACAGTTGGGTCCTCGCCTCTCAGACGACTTCGAAGAAAACGCCACTAATTTTACGACATGCTTGTTGGGGAGCTTGTTGAGTTTACGAATCAGCTCAACTCAACTGCTATACTGGGCAGAGTGGATGTGATTACAGCATTGATATGTAACAGTTGGTACTGATTCTACAGAGGGTACAATCAGATATGGCTGGAACGTAATATGCCCAGAAGGCGAGTTATATTTGGGAGGATATTAAGATTATACAATGCTTAAGAGAACCATTATAAATATGTGGTCATTGTTAAACAGCACTTGGTGTGTCAAGGACACTTTGCAAAGGCAGCTAGGTACGACCATGACTGACTCGTCCTATCAATTGTGTTTCATATATGAAGCGGTGGCCTTGAATAATTTACCTAATCTTTTATAGTTTGAAATTTCAACAGTTTGTATAACCCCTACAGAAGCTCTCGAAATAACAGTACAGCTCACAAATAGCATTGAATATTTTCGTTTTCTCAAAACTGTAGATGCAGGCACAAACACATTACGGGAATTTTATAATTACCATGCAAGGTCAGTATTACATTAGGAGAAACAATAAATAATTGAATTGAACATATAAATAAATTGCTTACTACAACATTAAACGTTTCTGTAGTTCGGTATGCATTTGTATATACTCTCCTACCCCGCTCCACGTTTCTTATATAAGCTCAGATCAATACTCACGGAGGTAATTCTCAGCTCACGAAGTCTGTGAACGACAGCCAGTATAATGCCTGGAATCACTTACCCTAGTTTAAATGTAGTTCTCATGTTGACATTGCATCCGCTGGCGTGTTGTCCGTTACAGTATCTGCTCGCTGTCCCAATTGACACAATAATTTACCAACCAGAACGAAATAATCACAACAGAGCTAGCACACTGTACTGAAGAAAGACATTCCTTGCACAGATGTGACCGCGGTGAGCACCAACGACTGCGGATCCAACTAATGCGGGGTTTTCTTGTTGTCACTATTGCCAACCGTCGACTAGTCTTGTGTATTACGCAATGAAATAATACACCCCGTGAATTGAGCATCAGTGGGAAAAAAGCTTATTTTGTTCAGTCAGGCGAAACTGCATTATTTTAAAGTTTGACTCCTGCGTGTCTTGTCACTTGTCTCTTGTGTGATTGTACACGGCGATTCCATTATATTCTGCTACGTATTGATAATCGTGAATCCGGCTTGCTTTCGGATTGCCTGCCAAAATAATTATCCATGACTAACCTCACCTTACAATAAGCGTCCTTCTTTCAAATGTCTCAAACCATATAATGTTGGTCACCGTGTCTGTCAACACAGCCTTCTGACCCGCCTACTGCCAGTTGTCTCAAAACATATAGCGTTGGTCAACATGTCTGTCCACACAGCCCTCTGACCTGCCTACTGCCATTTGTCTCAAAACATATAGCGTCGGTCAACATGTCTGTCCACACAGCCCTCTGACCTGCCTACTTCTAATTGTCTCAAAAATTAGGTTTACGCAAATCTCCTCAAACAATGTTGGTCACTTCACAAGTTTGTTGGACTGGTCGACTTTCCTGAAGGTTACAGGTGTGTCCCGCTCTATTGTTTGCGTTATATGTTGTCTTGCATTTACGTTTTCATTTCGAGAAAAAGAATGCTTGTGACATAGGTTGCAGCACTCTCTAGGGGGAGTTGTTGCTCCATATTTTTAGAGCGTTAAAAGCTATTACGTACTGGAATATACCAGACAAAATATGAATGGCATCACGAAACACCCCCGTAACCTTGTGCCAAGGTGACAGGTTCAGAAACTACAAATCAGAGGTGACCTAGTGTTTATATGGGCGTGGGGAAATTAACGTTACTTTTATCGTCTCAAGCCATATAGCGCTAGTCAACATGTCTATCCACACAGCCCTCTGACCCACCTACTGGCAGTCGTTTTTGGTGTTACTCTGAACCTTAATGCTAAACTGCTCAATTTCTTTGCACCTTGGTCGCCCCGGCTGATCTTGGAGTTTCCCGCTGCTACCTACTCCCGCATCCACTTTTCCGGTCACGTGCCTAAAGCGTCTAGATCGTCTACATGTAGTGACCTGAATCTGAAAATACGTAATACACGTTCACTGCTGTAGACGTCTTTTAAACGGTTTTGCTATCCCTTTATTATACACTGTTCACAATTTTTGTCTAAATAGTGATCGGTATTTATGGCTCTTGAGATCAGCTCTTTTGTACCTCTTGTATAGCACATTCTACTTTCGCAGTCAGTGTGGATGATATATGATCACGATTGTATTGATTGGAACTCTTAGAGTGAAGTCGAAATATGATGGCCGATTTTGATGGTCGTTCTCTTTGGCCACGAGTGTTTATTTCTGATCTGCCATCACAGTCATCAAGTGCCTTGCCGACTGGTATAGGCGATGATTTCTTTCCACGATTTGCTATCTACAACATTGTGTCTCAATTCGTGTGCTGACACAATTCAATGTCATGACAAAATGCTGTTAAGCATCTTGTCGTGTTAGCTTCATCGCCTCTCTTCCCATACATCTTCCTAGGTGTCAGAAACTATTCTAGTTTCTTTCTTCTAATAATGTGACAAACAACCCTCCCCAACCCCCGAAAAAAAGATGTGTGATGTTCTCGGGTCTTTACCTCAGTCAAAACATCAAGCTTACACCGTGCACTGCTCACATGGATTACACCTCACCCAGCTGACATTCTATGCAGGCAGTGTCCGTACTATTCAGGTTGTCCGAGCCAAAGTGCATAAAGTAACATCGTCAGCCTAGCAAAGCTAAAGTCGTTATCACTTCTGAAACTTCACACGAAAAACGCTCGAAATAACTTTTAGTCGTCTTTTGCGTGTGCATGTTGAAACCGGGAATCCCAGATAACCTCAGCCGCTGGCTAAATATAAAACAACGCTTTCGGTCCCATTGGTGGAAGTAATACTGTAGACGTCATACGTAATTGAGGGCATTCCCATCGTACGTCAGCTCGCAGTTCGGCAGCGTTATCGCACTCGGCTCTATTTGTATTTATTAATGATTATCTGCTGGCAGATAGTCGAATTGTACGCAATAACATTAAGAGGCAAGTCAATTTCAAGGACCCAGGTTCCTTTCAAAGACTGAAATCGTTATGCAGTGTGACGTTTTCACCTAAATAGCTATGCCACTGAGCTATTTATATTTATATTCATACACGGGCGGATCTTTCTAATATCTCCCGGGTTGATTTAAATAGACCAGAAGCTACGAATTTTAGATCAGGGATTCAGACACAAAGAAAACGTGGGGGCATCAAGTGCCTGCGGGTCCCCCACCCCCACCCCCATTAGGTTCAGGTGTCCCTGTGTATGATACATTTTTTTATTCAGTTGCTCCTCTCCTGATATTACATGTTCTAGACCTATATCTTCTTATGTACAGAAGCAAATGTGTGTATATTTTAGTGGGTAGTTCCTTAAAACACACACAAAGTACCACTCATAAATATTTTCATGATTGCAGATTAAATCTGCTGTCACCACTGTGACCCTTAAGTTGCAAGTAGACATTGACACCCGCGCCCCCTTCCTGTTTGGCCCCTTTCTCTCTTCACCTGCCAATCCCAGAGCACCAAAATGAGCAGAATATGTGATGCTGTCTGTTGAGACTGTTCTGTGCCGACCTTCCAATCAGACTTAACTCTTTTAATAAAGTAAAGTAGGTGCTATTTTAATATCCTACCCCAAACAGGGGTCACGGGACAGATATATATTTCAGAGCATGGTAGATAAGCTGTATGCAGTCGTGGGACCTAGGCTGCATGCAGTCGTGGGATGTAGGTGGGTTGGGGTTAGGGCCAGTTCTAAATGTTTTGGGATCGTTAAAAGCATCAGAAAGCCGGGAATCCCAGTCTTACCACCCTCTAAACTGTTGGACTGTCTTGTTACGTCATCTGGGGTAGGATTTTATAAAAGAACCATAAAGTGCCTTTTTCCACGCCTTCAGGTGTCTTTGGCAAATAGGGCTAGACCTATATTTTATAGACCAGTCGGCACAGGTGATATGGTCAGCATTAGGCTGGCAACCTTTACTTCCCAAGACTTCACCTGGTATCCACTGAAGGCTTGGTTGACCTGGGAGACAAGATCATTCAAACAAAAATTGGTACATCCAGGACCTGAACCCACAGCCTTCCAATCTGCAGGCAAGCATTTAGCTGCTACACCATGGTGGCTCCCATTAACTCTTTTAGTACCAAAAGGTATTACAGCAGATGCACAAGATTAAATAACCAGGGACACCACTATTGGGACACCGCTATTCAGCTCTGTGATGTTTCTTTCTTTGTCAGGGTTATAGTTTCCTGTCATTGTATATGACAGTTCTCTTATCCCTGTGAGTCAGGATAAGAGTTTATCACCCCTTGTGTGACAGTTCTCTTATCTCTATGAGTCAGGATAAGAGTTTATCACCCCTTGTATGAAAGTTCTTTTATCTTTATGAGTCAGGATAAGAGCTTGTCAACCCTTTTATGGCAGTTCTCTTATCTCTCTGAGTCAGAATAAGAGTTTGTCACCCCTTGTATGACAGTTCTCTTATCTCTGAGCAACGGGATAGAAGTGTGCTTGCATGGCTACTCTCTGACCTACATATCAGATCTGTCTTCATATGTCAGTGAGATATTTGACAGAATTGGCCAGTTTTAGCTTTACTTTATATATATTAGTTTTGCTTTGCTTTCTCTGAAAAAGCTATGAATTTGCTGACAGTTAATGATCACCCTATCTTAGTTTCCACAACTACCTTATCTAGCTTTTTTTTTTTTTTTTTAAATCTCAGTTATAAAAAATGGTCATTTGTATATCTTGGAGTGTTTCTGTGTACAATATTCAATGTATAGTAAAAGTAAAGTAAAGGACCCTTTTCACGCCTTTAGGCGTATAGGACATATAGGGCTAGACCTATATTTTTATAGACCAATCAGCGCAAGATGGGTGATGTGGTCAGCATCACGCTGGCCACCTTTACTTCCTGGGACTGCACCCGGTATCCACGCAAGAGCCAATGTCATTTTTGAAAAAAAGATCGGCTCCGCCAGATCGGATCCACACGCGAGCGACTAGCCGCGGCGACTCCCATATTCAAAGTATTGTAGAGTTTTTGAAAACGGTATCAAGTGCTCATCTGAGTTGTTGAAGAATATCAGCTTTACTGGCAAAAATATCAACTTTACGGAGAAAATTAAATTACTGATAAATATAAACTTTACGAAGAAAACCAAATCACTGATAAATATCAACTTTACGGAGAAATTATATTACTGATAAATATCACCTTTACGGAGAAAATCAAATTACTGATAAATATCAACTTTACGGAGAAAACCAAATTACTGATAAATATCACCTTTACTGGCAAAATATCAACTTTACGGAGAAAACCAAATTACTGATAAATATCAACTTTACCGGGCAGAACAAACCTGAGAAAGTTTGAAGAGTAATCCAGTGCCAGGAAAAAGGAGCAGAGAAATGTTTGCGTCAGAAGCTGCCATGTTGTGTCCACAAATGTCTTCTGTTTACTTACAGGTGGCGTGTTCACGATATACTGGACCAAATGCTGCATCGCTGAAAGCAAAAATTGTCAATCTTATCCAAGGTAAGTCTGACTCCTCAGTCATTGATCATCTATGTTCTTTTGAGCAGCTGGGGGGCTGTGTGGTCTCAAGGCATGGTGTCCGCCTCGAGTGCTAGAGGTTGTAGGTTCAATCCCCAGTAAGAGCTGGGATTTTTTCATGTGGACTTGGACTTCTAGTAATTTCCCCCTGGTCTCTGGGTAGTGAGATCGGACGCCCGTGTGCATTGTCACGCAGGTAAAAAATCCCTTGGCAGCTGCAAATTGAAAAGAGTAGCCTAACAGCGCTGCCCGGGCAAAATTTGGAGTTAAAGATCTACCCAAAGTATTTCAGGATCCTCACCGGTGCTACAGAGCCTGTGCATTGTGCTAAGCTTCTTCAGACTCAGACTTGAGTTAGAAGAAGAACAGAAAACTAATGGGTTACTAACAGTGTGCCATGATGTTGATCTGTTGTTCAAAATCTCAGACCTTCTGAGCAGCTTTGTTGTCACACACAGAAATATAGAACTTCCTCCATTTCTTAGAGTGATTTTCATTCTCTGGTACCTTGCCAGTTTAGTCCTATTTCCCAAAAACAAGAGGCAGCAGTTAGGGACATATATTTGCAGATATTCATCATGGGATAACTGTTTAGTTTTGTCAAGGCTGTAACTGTTGCATACCTCCTTTATGACTATTTTATCCAGGGTTTTTGTTCTGCATTTAAAAAAACAAAAATTCCAGTACTCAGCTATCAGTGTCTTCTAAAGGTGCAGGTAGATACATTAAAGGGTCTATTAAAGTAATGCTGACAAAATATTATGTTGTCAATAGGTGCCTTTCTGCATACCATGCCTAGGCCAGAAAAACAAAGCCCTAAAAACATCAGTATTTTCATACACCCTTGGAGCAGTTAACTGATAATCTGAAAAGAGCGAGAGGAAGACCGAAACTGCCTACACGGCTGGGGCAGGACAAAAATTCCGACCCGATCTATGGGTATGGGGATCGTTGGAGATGGTGAACCGCGACGGCCCTTACTTATCAGCAGGGCAACATGGCATATCTTTAGGAGCAGAATTGGAGAAAACTTGAAATGTATCATCATGATCTTGAAAAATTAAATCAAACAGATCATGTCTTATATGGCAAGCCAGAATTCCATTAACCTAAGACCTGACATTCTCATTTTCCTAGGGCCAACTAGTTGATGATGTAAAAGGGTCAGGATTTCTTGAGGGTCACTGTCCGGCTACTCAATTCAGTCTAATATTCATTTTTATAAAGAAAAGCTAACCATTGCGGGTTTGCCATGTTGAGTTCATAGACATCTTTTGCAAATTACATAAACCTTGCAATGTCAGCAGTCAGTCAGTTTCCTTGGTTATGCTAGCATTGATCTGCTGTTTGTTTATATACAGCTTGTGGTCGAAGCATAAAAGACCCAACAAAGACCAGACATTACATTGGAAAGCACAGTACACTGTCAGTGCAGCATAGGTAGTACTATGAAAAAAACATAATGCTGTTAACACAAAGACATGCTAATATACACATCTGTAACACTGAATATTGTTAGGACAGAATAGATGATATTATCAGAGCATTAAAAAATGGTAACAAAAACAGACGGTACTGTCAGAACATGCAGCACTGTTACAAGACATACAGTATTGTCATAATATTAACCACTGTTATGATCTATTATAGAAAGCAATTTGTGCACATGTGTACTTATTCTCCAACCAGGAGGCACCTGCTATGTACCACTGATCCGAAGTGACACAACAGGGCCTTATGCTAAAGTTGGAGACCCATACACACCAAGTTCTCCATACAAGCTTGTTTCAGAGATTGAGAATGTACTCAGACCTGCACCAGCCACCAATCTGGACTTTAGCACCAAGGATTTTAGCAATATGAAAGTCTGGGCCTTTGCTGGACCGATGTCTCCCGGAGAAGTAAGTTGTAGAAAATAACTAGTCCTTGCCCCCTGTAGATTACTGTTTTTGTTATTGTTCGGGAGTCTCTGAAAGAGATAGATCACACACACACCAACCCAGTGCCCAGAGATCACACACACATGAACCCAGTCCCCAGAGATCACACACACACACATGAACTCAGTGTGCGGAGATCACACACACACATGAACCCAGTGCCCAGACATCACACACACACACATGAACACAGTACCCAGAGATCACATACACATGAACCCAGTGCCCAGACATCACACACACATGACCCCAGTGCCCAGAGATCACACACACATGAACCCAGTGCCCAGAGATCACACACACACACACTAACCTCCTGCTGAGAGATCACACACACATGAACCCAGTGCCCAGAGATCACACACACATGAACCCAGTGCCCAGAGATCACACACACATGAACCCAGTGCCCAGAGATCACACACACATGAACCCAGTGCCCAGAGATCACACACACACACTAACCTCCTGCTGAGAGATCACACACACATGAACCCAGTGCCCAGAGATCACACACACACCAACCCAGTGCCCAGAGATCACACACACATGAACCCAGTGCCCAGAGATCACACACACACACATGAACTCAGTGTGCGGAGATCACACACACACATGAACCCAGTGCCCAGACATCACACACACATGACCCCAGTGCCCAGAGATCACACACACATGAACCCAGTGCCCAGAGATCACACACACACACACTAACCTCCTGCTGAGAGATCACACACACATGAACCCAGTGCCCAGACACCACACACACATGACCCCAGTGCCCAGACATCACACACACATGAACCCAGTGCCCAGACACCACACACACATGACCCCAGTGCCCAGACATCACAAACACATGAACCCAGTGCCCAGACATCACACACACACATGACCCCAGTGCCAAGACATCACACACACACATGAACCCAGTGCCCAGAGATCACACACACATGAACCCAGTGCCCAGACATCACAAACACATGAACCCAGTGCCCAGACACCACACACACACATGAACCCAGTGCCCAGACATCACAAACACATGAACCCAGTGCCCAGACACCACACACACATGACCCCAGTGCCCAGACACCACACACACACACTAACCCAGTACCCAGAGATCATACACACCATAACTTTCTGCCGGAGTATACCACTGCTGAATACTAAGAAGAAGAGATTTGTTTGGTATGTCTCATCCGCCACTTATCATTCTAAGAATGATCTTCTCCAGAAGCCACACTGGGAATGCCACAGTCTAATATATGTGAAACTCAGCTACTTCCCATTCCTGCAACAGTATTCTCATAGTACTGTCTAGACTTGTGTTCTTTGATTTTCATCCAGGCTGCAGACTTCCGAAAGAAGTGGAAGTCGCCAACAATGCCAAAACTCAACCACAGTGTTCGGGAGAATCACAAGATCTTGGATGGGGAGCGAGGATTTGAACGATTTGGCCGGTATTGTATTTATGTGATTGCTGATGATAATGATTATTGTCATTGTGAAAGGCCTATGGCATAATGATGATTGTTGTGTTTGTGAAAGGCCTATGTAATATTGATGATTGTTGTGTTTGTGAAAGGCCTGTGGCACATAAGGTTTAAGTTGCCCACAGTCAGTAAATCAGTACATGGTTGCTGTGTCAAATTTACTGTATTCCATAAAATTCCTACCAGATAGGGTGCCTTGGATAGGTTGAAAAACAGAAAGCTGCTTATGCAAATTTATTGTTTTAAAAAACCCCAATCTGTTGGAAAAAACAGTACGTTATAAGGCCATGTTCCTGGCAAAGTGTTTAGAGAAGAAAAAAACAAAGAACCTAAACCTGCCCATTATCCTGTATGTCATTTATACAACATTACATAGAGCTTTGATTCTGTTCTATTTCTCCTTCATTTTTGCTTTCTGGGTGGATTCCACTTGAGCATATATTTCCTCTCTATCAGTGTTTATCTTAGAGTCTTTCTGCACATCTTTATTTCTTCAGTGTTTTCCATTTCAATGCCTGTTTGGTGATTCTCTGTCCATTTCTTATCAGGATATGACAATTCTATCACCATCTTCCCAGTCTTATAGCTGTGGACACAAGCGGTTGCGCAGACATTTCTCCCATCTACTCACCTCTTGTCTGTTTGCATTCATCCCTTACAGTACTCACCATCTTCCCAGTCTTAAAACTGTGGACACAAGCGGTTGCGCAGACATTTCTCCCATCTACTCACCTCTTGTCTGTTTGCATTCATCCCTTACAGTACTCACCATCATCCCAGTCTTATAACTGTGGACACAAGCGGTTGCGCAGACATTTCTCCCATCTACTCACCTCTTGCCTGTTTGCATTCATCCCTTACAGTACTCACCATCATCCCAGTCTTATAACTGTGGACACAAGCGGTTGCGCAGACATTTCTCCCATCTACTCACCTCTTGCCTGTTTGCATTCATCCCTTACAGTACTCACCATCTTCCCAGTCTTAAAACTGTGGACACCAGCGGTTGCGTAGACATTTCTCCCATCTACTCACCTCTTGCCTGTTTGCATTCATCCCTTACAGTACTCACCATCATCCCAGTCTTAAAACTGTGGACACCAGCGGTTGCGTAGACATTTCTACCATCTACTCACCTCTTGTCTGTTTGCATTCATCCCTTACAGTACTCACCATCTTCCCAGTCTTAAAACTGTGGACACCATCGGTTGCGCAGACATTTCTCCCATCTACTCACCTCTTGCCTGTACTCACCAGCTTCCCCAAACACATGCCTCAACAAGAAAAGTTTGGTCCTGGTTTTATTTTCCGTTGACATCACATATTTCACACTGCTATGAAAGGTGATTTTATATTATTTATATCTCAGTCTGTTCTTCCATCTTCGTCCACATCACTGCCTAAGCAGGTGCATGACTGCAGGTGTAGCATGGCAGTCTACAAGTAGTCAAGATGTGCCCACAGATAACACAAGGTGCATGACTGCACGTGTAGCATGGCAGTCTACAAGTAGTCAAGATGTGCCCACAGATAACACAAGGTGCACCCTTGTACCAGACGACTCACCTTGCGTTGTAGATTTCAGCTGACATGGCATACCTTTCGGAACTCCTTGTGAACGTCCTAGTATTGGTCAGGGCCATTCAGCTAAGCTTACTCAGGAGCCAGTATACTGGAAAAAGGGATTGTCACAGGCCAGAGGCCTGGCCCCAGCGTAGAAACATAATTAATACAATACAATTGACACTCCGCTTGCCACTTTCCTAGGCTTCTGCAGGCCAAATTTGGAATAGGCCTGGCCTGCTGTTTGTTTATATACAGTTTGTTGACAGAACAAAAACACACACAAAAAAAGAATATCAGCAAAGCGCAGACAGTACTGTGGGGAATACGGTACAGCATCAATACAGCACAGACACACTGTGGAGAACTTAGTACACTGTCAGTAAGCACAGGCAGTACCATGAGAAAGCAGAATACAGACAGTGCTGTGACACACAAGGTCTGAGCATTCTATTGTCGACATAGAATAGAAAAGGTTATTAAAATGATAAATAATTTTAACACAGTATGGGAAGTATAAACCACTCTGTCTCTAGTGTTACTTTAACTCTGTCTGCCCTTAGTGTTATAATTTCCATCTGTTTGTACCCACACATTTGTTAGTTAAAATAACAGCTTCATGGGATCAGCTTAGTAAAAGTAACATCTGCTTGGCACTGAGAGTTAACACTTGCTGCTGTCCATAACCTTCCCTCAGTATCATCTGCAAGACAGGCAGTTTTATGACAAAGCATGACCCCTACCTTGTAACCTTTCTGACCCAAGAGACCTTGCTAGTAGCTGGCAAGCAACTAGCGCAGTTAAAAATTTTTTTTTTAAACTTTGGATCATCGTATTATTTTTTTTGGCTATCCTCGGAATAACGGGCACTAAAGATGGCGGCCCCAATATATTCTTTTGAGCCGCAGTCACGTGACTTAATTTACGGTTTCTGGTGACTGCTGCCACCGCCGCGAGTCCCCCGCGCCGCTCTTGTGGCGTGGATTGGGGTTAAACTAGATGGCTAGGACTCACGAGCAAAGCTGTAGGAGATGCGGAAGCTGCTGCTCGTGGGTCCTAGCCATCTAGTTTAGCCCCAGTCCATGCCACCTGAGCAACGTGGGGGACTCGTGGCGGTAGTCGCCAGAAAACCATATATTAAGTCGCCGGAAGTGCACAATTGACATGTGACTGAAGCTCGAAAGGATATTTTGTGGCAGCCATCTTTAGTGCCCGATATTCAGAGGATAGCCCATTCTTTAAATACATGTGTAGTTTAATTCTGATTTCTAAGTGCATGTTTTTGTGAAAGGTTCATTGCATTGTTAGTCTTGTTACACACCGCTGAATGTCAAGACAGTTCTAATATATGCTCATTGTCATGATTTAGACTGAATTGAATTAAGCTGAGTTAAGAACAAGCATCACAACACTCTGGATATTTCCATAAGAGCTCAATCCCCACCTTCAGCAGCCAGTTCCAGTGGTACCAGTTGCAGTTTGATTTTTTGTTCATCTGGTCTTTCCCCTGATTCAAAATGGGAATGGCCCATGCTGTTTTTAAAAAAAAAGCCTTAATAACATTTTGTCTTGATTTATGCACGGAGCCTTTGAGTCTCTAATTTTATATGAGGTTCTTCCCTCCTGTGCTTTCACAAGATTTATGTTTCGGTTCCCTCTATTGTCTAATCTGTTGCATTTAAAGTCGGTCTCAAACGGACTTCCTTGTTTTAACCAAAACCCATGTTATAGCATACTATACACTGAATGTGCGTCAGTATTAATCATATACAATAATTAAATTTACAGGGAGCTAGCAGACTGTCATTCAACTTCCTGGCAAGAATACTGGCCTTTTCTGGATGCATTCGCTGATCTGCGTTCTGAAGAGGGGCTTGACAAACTGAACCTTTTCTTTCACAAACAGGAAGTCATACATTTTGTTCAGGCACTTCTCAGGGGAGAAAACTTTGTACCTGCTGAACAGTACACAGTCAATAACGAGTTTATATTAGATCAAGACTTGTCCGAGCTTGAAGAGAGTGAGGACGAAAATGATGGTTACTTTTCTGCAGATAGTCATTCATTCAGTGAGGATGACAGCTCAGATGTTAGCAGCAGCATTGCTGGGGAAAGAAGTGCGGGTTCTTCGAGCATCAATACCTCTCGAGGTATGTTCTTCTCTCTGTGGGGTGGCGTTGTAAAATTAATTAAAAAGCTCACACCTAGTTTTGGCAGGCATGAACAGAACGGGAACAGTTTGTCTTGTGCTCCAGTTACAAATGCAGAAGAACAATCTCAGCAGTCTTCTGTCACCAGTCTAGAATCTCCAACTTCCCCATGTAACAATCATACAGATAGTGAATCTTGTGAAAGTAATCAGACAGATGTGACAGCCAGTTTCACAATGCCTGATGACACCACACAGACACAACAAGCAGTGACATTGTCTTGTACAAATGGAGACACACAGCTTGATGTGCAGATCAATGATTTAGGAAATTCTAGTTTTCAGTGTCAGGAACATGTGCATAGGGTCACTGACAGCCTTTCAGGTGAACAATGTGTTGTGTCAGAAGAAGCAGACATGGACTTATCTCGAACTCCTGAGAAATGGAAGTACAGAACTCTTGGAAAGAGTTTGATATCGGATTCACCAAGTCCAGAGAAAGCATTCTCTGACAATCTTTCTCCATCCTCTGACCAAGATGAGGTGTCTCCAGCTTATCCGCAACCTAGAAATGGACATAGACTGAATGTAGATTCCTTGGACTCCCCACAAGACAGAGCCCTGTCCAGCAAACAGAATTCATGTGAAGCTCATCTAGATGACAGTTTTAATACCAAAATGGACACCTTCTCTACCACCTTGCAGAAGTTTACCATACTCTCACCAACAGCCTCTCCAGCAATGTCTGCTACAAACACATCTTCAGCTCCGTCCAGCATACTCACTGAAGAACCATGTGTTCACATTTTCACTGGTAAAATGTTTTCTAAGTTTGTGTCAGAACTAAAGTCCAGAAAGTATACAAGTGCTGCAAAAGAAATACCAGAAGATCCATCTGAGCTGCCCACAGTTTTTATAAGACAAGCTGATGATAACTCTGTACTGGCAGACGTCTTTCTTCCCATGCCACAGAGAGCAGAAGATTCATGGTTAAAACCCCGAGGACGCATTCTGGATGAACTCACCCATAAAGAAGTTATAAAAAATGTGTGGGTAAACTTCCTGGTTGTCTTCCCTACATCTGATGGAGCTAACAGAATCCTGAGTCTTTCAGAGGATGCAGTTGTTTGTGCAGTGGTTGAGGGGGTGCAGGACGACAAAGACACCTACACCTTCAGCAGGTACAGTCTTCACAATCACTTGTCAAACAGTTGATGTAAATATCTTGTGTAAATATTGAATCTTTTGAGCTGGTTCTCAAGCTTCATAATCATTCTTTGGCACTACTGTCTGTGCTCTTTTGCTGACTTCTAAGCTACGACAATGTCTGTTGGGTGTGGTTAAGAGAGATGGCATCACAGCACTCAGTAGCATTCCAATAAGCACTCTGATCCCACCATCAGCATCCAGCACAGAATTCGAGTGCTGATGGTATTAGTTGCAGTGTGATTAAATGTTCATTTCCTGTTATCTTTTAGTGTCAGCCAGATCCTCTGGAATGTCTCAATGACTAACCAACACATTTTATTTGCGAATGGTCACAAATTGGATGTGCAGGACCATCTTAGATTCTGTCCCTTTAAACAGTCATCTTTTACATGGCAGTTGTATGTTATATATCAAGCATGTTATGTTCATGTGTCAAAATTCATATTTTTTTTTTTTTTTTTTCTCGTTCACCGGCTGTGAATTCCGGCGGAAGGTCGCGGTTAATCGTCCGCTTGGACTTTTGGCTTTCACCCGGACCTGATTTTTGCGTGTACAACCGTTTTAATGTTCCCTGCCTCATGGGCAGCTGTACTCCGACTTCGAAGGAAGACGTCAGGCCTATTTCTAGGTTGACTGTGGCCATTGTTTTGTGTGGGCCAAGACGTTTCCTGATTTGTGTGGAGTCCACTTTGTCTCCTTCTCCACAGGTATTGCCCCCGGAGTACCCCTTTGGGGCAGCCCCCTGTGGAACAGTTAGCCCATTAAGGGAAGGCATGGGCAGATCATGGGCATTCCCCGCGATCCGAGGAGGCTTCCATGTATGCAGAGCCGGCACATGGCGCTCTGGTTCTGGGCTCACCCAAGGAATCGTCACGTCCTGCACATGCCTGCTTAACCTCACAACCGTATCAGGCTTCCCGCTCGACAAGAGCTGCGCCCTCTGGAAGTCAGCGGGGAGCAGCCTGTGGATTTTAAACTTTTGTGACCACACGAATATGCACATTCTTTTTTTTTCCGCACGTTAGATTTCTTTGACGAGCCGTTAGCCCGACAGAATTTTACATCCTGCGTCAGGCATAGCGTTATCAGTTTGGTCCCAACACTCGGGCGAGTGGGGTCTTTGGGTGTGGACATTTGGTCTTTTTACGTTCAGTACAAATTGTGGAGGTCAGATTTTGAGCTCACTCGTGTGCCGTAGGATCTAGTTTTGTCAGACAAGTAGGCTTAGCCAGCCAATGGGCTGTTGCTGTTGTGGTGTACCTCAGCGCGGTGACGACGACACTAAGGGTTAACCGAGGATGTACATGGATGGCCAGCCTAGGGATGGTTGCTGTTGTGGTGTACCTCAGCGCGGTGACGACGACACTTGGGGGTTAACAGAGGATGTACAGTGAACAATGTTCTCTTCACATTCTTTTAACCAAGGGTTGTGATTTTTAGCTGTACGTTTGGCAAGCATACTCATGTTCCTAATGAGTTTTGATAACCTTTTTCACCCAAGCGTTTGGGGGCGGGCTGATGAGAGCCACAAGGACACATCACCTCTGGGGGCCGCCAAACTCCGAGATCCCCTGACAGCTCTGTTAATGCTCGTTTGAGACATTATCCGTGGCGCACGACTTGGACGTGCTGCAGGGGTCTTGCGTGAGGTTCCGTAAAACCAGAACAGTGAAGGACTGGCGCCCGAGTGACGTACGGAGTATCTCCTTATACACATCATGTTGGACTTAACTTCCCCTCACGCCTGTGACACAATCACCGCACCACTATTCATAGTTTGAATGTAAAGTAAAAATACGTAAGAGTGGATGGCAAATGCACACCTTCAAATATACATGCACAAATACACACAATGCAAACAGGAGGGGGAAAATCCAGTGAGGCAGTAGAAAAGACCAAAAACACACACATGTACGCAAAGATACTTGCAGACACTAACAACACACAGACACAACATGTACACACTGACACATCACACACACACACACAATATCCTTACAATTCTCCTGACATTTTTATTATAGTCATCCGCAAATTGGTCACTTGTTATACTTAGATGTGTAAGGGAAGGTCATTAATATGAGTAGTAGTGGACAATTCTCCTCATAAGTCATAAGTTTTTTCCAAGACATCTTCATCACTCTTTTTATGTTCCCAAGGTATTCTCATCATTCATCTTTAAAACCAGATCTCCACAGCTTCAAAATAATTGTTTCCTTATCGATCAACTGTCCATGATTTATTTCTTTATGTCTGGATAGGATTTTTCTAAAAACTCTCTTTCTTGTTTCAGTTGACAAAGAGAGATTTCATAGAATTTTCTTTATTTTGTAAAATGCAGCTTTTGCTTCAGTTGTTCGACATTAAACTTCTTTAATACATCTTCCATCTAATATCAGGGTACCCAGGTACTTAAATGTGAGTTATGAGTTATGATTTGGATTATCTTCATGGCACTCCGGACATGTCCATAGGTGCTCATATTCCCCTTTCAGCATATATCAGTGTCCTGCAGTTGATAGTCCCAGTCCTGTGTTGGTTGATAAGATTTCTTGTACATCCAATGGGCTTCTCATGCATGGCTGCGCCGATCTTTACTCCCAATTCTTGCAGTCTTAGCAAAGATGTGGATGTGCTGTTCCCAAATTCTCCGATCGTCCTACCTCTCTAATGGCATTAACAATGTCCGCATGATCCATGGCCGGCCCTCTGTAACTAAGGCAGAGCCGGCTAATCTGTTGGCTCTTTCATTGACTACAACACCTGCATATCCTGGAACAAACATGAAGGTTACTCCACGCGCAGTGGAGTTTTGCAATGACTCGATCCACTGTCTGCATACAACATGTTGGATCATGCTCGTGCAATCACTCAGCACACACACGTAAGAATAGCCCTGCGATGCTAGCCACATGAAAACTTGTGTTACCTCCATTGTCATGCTGATGGTAGTCATACAGAAGGCACCACTGGCCTCCTGTTCTGCCTGCACATCATGCAGCAAATGCCCATGCTTTTTTGCCCTTGTGCAACGGACCCATCTGTGTAGATCAGAACATCTGCCTCATCTGAATTTTCACATATAAGCGCATGTACCTCTGCATTGACAGCAACTGGATTCTGCTCACAGGAAAAGGTGCAGTTGAGCACTTGGGGCACAGGTATCCATTCTTTGCCGAGGCTGATGTCTGTAAGAATGCAGTATGATATCATCCTCTGCCCTACGGAGCCATGATTTGCCCTTTTTAAAAAAATGTATAGCCTATTGCTCTTTTTCCTAACGAGAACATTGTGCAGAGGATGCTTCAAATCTGAGCTTATCTTCAGTCCTCCAGATCTTTATCCTATGGTGCATTGTCGGAAAGTCAAGAAATCTCATTGTTATGCAAGAGGTGTCTCTTGTGCATCCCAGAATAATGCACATATCTTCATTTTGCACCTTTTCCAGTCTTTCAATCTGCGTGTCGCTGATGGTAAGTATGGCTAAAACATATTAGACTGGAGAAGAACCAGTGCCTGGAACAGCAGCGGAAGCAGTCTCTGCTTGATGTTGGCAATGGCTAGGACCCTCATTGCTGCTAAGCCTTTACGGGCTTTCTTTAAAACATGGTTGACCTGGTGAAGAACAGACTTCACACCCAGAAATGTCATTGAGTGTGTTCTCCTCAAAGCTTTGCCGCTAATTTCCACCACTGGTAGGTCTGCCTTAACCGTATGCGTGTTTGAGGAGAACCACGTTACTGTGGCCTTTGAAAAGTTGATATGTGCACTGGAGTCCTCACACCAGAAGGAGATGCGTTTGCTCTGCATTGCATTGGCAATATCATTCTTCGATGTCAATAGACAAAAATGTCCTGCCACTCCTATTCCGTTACTGGTCAGTTATTTGCAATGCATGTACAGTAAAGAGGACTGTGGACACCGGAGAACCCTGAGGTAACTCAGGACAAATGTTTATTGGGTCTGAGGACCAGCAACCACACCTGAATACCGCCTGTCTCTAGAACAGTGCTGCAGCTAGCCAGCAAATGATGAAGGGAGATATTTTTGGTTGGAGGAGGATCTGCACAAGGTAGTCAAAATGTATTCTGCTGTAGATAATGGCATCCGTCAGTCCCGGGGGACTATGGAGATGTGCCGCTGGCTTTGGGAACAGCATCTGCTGTGACTGTATAGTCCGATGCGGGAATGGCAGTCTTTGCCACACAGGATGAAACTGTTAAGCATCGCTGGAGTGACCTCTCCAGGGCACAGGCCAGGGCGTTTTGATTTGGAGTACAGACTGTTGCCCAGGCAGCAAGTACCCCCTCTCTACGTCGCCGGTGATACCAAGGGAAAGGCAAAAACCAGTACAACTTGGCACCGAGGACGTTGCAGGAATTGCCGGAATAGCACTGTATACAATGCTAAACCGCCTTAGGGATTCCAGCTCTTGATTTTTCCTCAGGGTTTACTCCCGAAGCGCTTTCCCAAACAGGGGTATGGCCACAAGGCAGTGGAGGTGTATAGTCAGAGTTTACCTTCTCCTAGATGAGCTGCACTCCCGTACTGACGAGCCTCATCTACCCGAAGATGCTGTACGCATCTTCTAAATCTAGTGCAGCTGTCTCCTCTTTCACCTGGATACCTTAATAGACATCATAAGTGAAAACTGACACATTAAGCCATGCCTCTTTATTGCATCTATACCCTCCAAGTGTGGACTTGAATGTATCAACTTGTTTGAGGATTGTCCCATTTGCTTTGGTGTTTCTTTTTAGAGGGTCCATTTTCTTTGTAATTACCACTACTTCTGTTTCTCTGCTTTCCGAGCTGAGGCCTTCATTTCTTGCATTTGTTTTTATTTTCAGCGATCAAAACTATATTGTCTGCATACTGCGGACACTTTTGCTTTAGATAACGACATTGAAATCAGTTCAGAGAAAAAACACGAAATTCAAGAAAAGACACAATTTAGAAGTCAGAAAGAAATAACATCAGAGGCGCTAGGAGTGCCATTTACACTTAATGAACTGGAGTTGGCCATTTCAAAGCTGAAAATGCGGAAGTCACCAGGAGCAGATGGTATATCAAACGAAATGATCAGAAACTTAGGAAAAGTAGCCAAAATAAAGCTTTTACAGATATTTAATGCTTGCTGGGCAACAGGGAATGTTCCACAGATCTGGAGAGAGGCAATTATGATACCCCTCATAAAGCCTCGGAAAGACAGTTCTAATGCCTCCAACTACAGACCAATCAGCCTCACAAGTTGTCTCTGTAAAACAATGGAGCGCATCACCAACCTCAGACTACAGTGGTACATTAAAAGTGAAAACATCATTACACCACAGCAGGCGGGCTTTAGAAAGTTCTATTCTACGGAAGACCAGACAACATACCTCTCCCAAGAAATAGAGGATGCTTTTCAAGATAAGAAACTGGTACTTGCGGCATGGATAGATTTAAGGAAAGCTTTTGATAAGGTTTGGAAGGAGGGGCTTTTGAAGAAATTGAAAAACTATAAAATAAATGGAAAAATGTACAATTGGATTAAAGCATATCTACATAACAGAAGAGCCCAGGTACAGGTAGATGGTTTTAAAAGTAAAAAAGTTCTACTGCGACAAGGCGTCCCTCAAGGTGGTGTCCTGTCGCCCACACTTTTCCTTTTATTTATCAACGATCTGGTTGCTGAGATACCAAATGGAATCAAAATGGCAATGTATGCCGACGACCTGGTACTGTGGTGCACCAATGAACATGCAACGATAGCCACAAAAACACTACAGCGGGCTACAAATGCACTTGAGGCATGGGCCAATAGATGGTGTGTCAGCATCAACACAGACAAATGTAGCACCACACTATTCACCCTCTCCCCAAAGCAAAAAGCCGGCACCATCAAAATAAACGAAATACCTCTGAGAGATGATAAAGTGCCCACATACCTAGGAGTCACATTTGATGACAGGTTGACATGGAGAAAACATATCAACAAGGCAGCAACCAAAGCCAGGAGGAAGACAGCAATACTAAGAAAACTAAGTGGAACCACATGGGGAGCAGATGGAAAAATACTCAATAAAGTATACAAGCAGAACATACTTCCACACTTGGAATATGGGTCAACTGCATGGTGTTCAGCATCTAGTACCACATTAAAGGAGTTAGACAAAGTGTAAAATCAAGCGCTCAGAGTCATCACAGGAGGGATGAAATCAACCCCCATATTAGAAATGGAGAAAGCTGGGAAAACACAGGCACTGAGAGAACGCAGAGATACAAAGTTGCAAATACAAGCTGAAAAGTTCCTCAGTATGCCAGATCACCCGATGGAAAATAGATTTAAGAACCTAGCCTTGGGACGGTTAAAAAGAAGCAGCTTTATACACCTAGCAAAAAGAATATGTAGACAAACTGCTGACCTTCCAGAAATTGGCTGCCCACTTAAAAGTATTCCGGAACAAACCCCATGGAGAGAAAAATGTAAACTAACGGTACAAATCCAGACAAATGTGAAAGGGATATTTGACAAGAAAGAGCAAGATAGTGTACAACACAAAATGGCCACCCTCAGTTATATTGATGAAGAATACCCACAAGAACAATGGGTCAGAGTCTATACAGATGGGTCCGCAGAAAGTGCAGTTAGAAATGGTGGTGCTGGAGTGTACATCGAATTCCCAGATGGTACTAGGGATAAGTCCAGCGTACCAAACGGGAAATACTGCCATAACTACGATGCAGAAACCCAGGCTATTAAGATAGCCACAGAAAAACTGCTAAATACCAACCTTGGCTCACAGTATGTGGTAATGCTTACAGATGCTAAATCAGTACTTGAAGCACTCCAGTCTAGGAAACTACCAGAATTGCAAACACTGCTGACACAACTCAGCGTTCGGCGAAGAGTCGTAATGCAGTGGATACCGTCTCATTGTGGAGTGCCTGGAAATGAGAAAGCTGACCAACTGGCAGGGGAAGGTGCGAAAAAAGAGCAGCCAGATGTACCAGTCACATACCACCGAAAGAAAAGAATAATTAAATCGATCAGGAAACCACCAGCCCCAGCACAAGACGACTATTTTATTATGGACAGACCAGAACAAGTCATTATCTTCCGCCTCAGAACAGGGCACAACCGATTACGTAACCACATGTACACAAAATTCAAGATAGGTGTATCAGCCATGTGCACCTGTGGAAAGGTGCCCCAGACCGCAGAGCATGTACTCCAGGACTGCACCAATTTTGACACATTAAGGCAAACCTTTTGGCCAGAAAGAACAACAGTGGAACGAAAACTCTATGGACCACTGAATGAACTAACAACGACAGTGAAATTTATACAAGAGACAAAACTGCTGATATAGATAACTTATTTCAGGCGAACGAAAGAAGAAGAAGAACTGCAATTTGTTAACAATATGTGCACAAACCGATATTCCTGACATACCATGTATGGATCTAATTATTATTTCACTGTACAAATGAGGAATAAATCGGGTGATTGTATTATCGGGATTACTGTTTTATTTTGAATGTTGCTAAATGACAAGCTAGGTCTCCCTCCTGTACTTCTGTCTTGTAGTCGAAGGGCTACGATTCTGGTATAGCAGAATCACAGGTGGGACGCTTTGGGAGAGAACCAAACACATTCAAAGGAATCAAGATGTGAGAAGATGACTGGTGCTGATTAAGTGTCCTACTGTGTCTGATCATAATAAAATGAGAATTGCACTGGAAATCAAGGACAAAGTAATAAAAAGAAGCCAAAAAATACATGGAGATGGGAATTAGAAACTGATGAATAGAATTGGGGGCAGAAGAGGAAACACGTTCTTATGACTGACAGATTAATACTGCCATTAGCCATGATGTGGACAAGACCTCATAGGTTCAGCTTATCAGGGGATGGAGACCACAGTCGCAAACCTGCTGCCATGAAGGTAGACTAGGGACAGTCACTGGTCAGGGATGTGACACCCAGACGAATTTGTTGAATTAGAATCACAAAACTCTTAATTTAGCTGGATGAAAATGACAAAGCTGAGGGATGATTGGATTTATTATTTGATTTTGGTTTCAGGTGTGCAGATTTATTATATTTGTGCATTTTGTTTTCTGCAGCACTGGGAAAGTAGATTCACAGAGCTTGACATATTTGTTTTTAACAAGTAAAGATAGTCTTGTGGACTCCAAAAACACATTCACATTGTTTGTGAGGATAGTCAGGAGTGCCACACTCCCTGTCAGGGATGTTTTTATTTGTGGGTGAGTATCCTTGGAACCTCTTATATTATTCATTATCATCATCCTGTTGTGCCATCATTTGTTACATAGAGTTTAAATAGTCAGTTTACCATTCCTTTCTGTCTTACAATTGTGTTTTTTTTTTCATGTGGAGTCTAGTGCAGTCTAGCTTCTCTCATTGATGTTCATCACAGTTTCACTTGGACATCCTCACCTCAGTCCATTTGTTTCCCACTTTTTTTGTTTTTTATTTACATTAGAAAAGTTTTTTTTTTATTTATTTAGTTTTTATTATTGTTTATATTGTTTTTTTCTTTTTAATCTGAAAAAAAAATAATCTCTGTGTGTTGTATTCACAATTTATTATAGTTTTTTTAGCTGTTTTTTTTTAAAACAGTTTTACTGAATTGTCTAGGTTGACTATATTCTATTGGTGGCTTCACAGAACTATCCCTACCAAAGTGGATGCAGATGTGTACCACACGCTGAACAGTAAAGCTTGTGAACTCATCCTTAGTCAGCCCAGCAGATTCTCACGTGTGCTCCAGTGGTATGAGAAGATGAGCAGGCAGGGAACAGATACCATCAGCAGGTGTGTTTGTTTGTTGGCTAGATATATTTATTTACTAACCCTGCTGCCTCCCTAATGCTAGAAAATATAGGCCATAACTCCATTGAATTACCCAGACAATAAAAGGGGAAAAAAGAAGAATTTTACACGAATCAATAATTTTAAAAAAAAAGTATATTTATCTTCATTTTTTCCTCAACATATTTACATTTTTATGAAGGGAGTTATCAGTAAACATGGACAGAGCATCAGATAGAATATATTCTCCAATGCCTCAAAAAAAAAGGGGGGAAGCGGGGGGTCAGGTGACTCATGCTGTGACCTCTTTCATTGAGGCTTATTTTTAATTTGGCTTCAACTTGGTTTTTAAAAAAAAAATGTTTGGTTCACAGTTCTCTGGGTGACAGGGTTGAACCGATGTTTTCTGTGTGCATTCCACGGCCTTATTTGGGAGCTTCAGAATAATGAAAAATTGTACCACATATCAGGACGGCGGTTTAATTAGTTTTCTGGGCTATCCTCCGAATAACGGTCTTAAATTATCGAGGCGGAAAATATACCCTAACAGGGCCTCTGTCAAATGTCAATTGCACACTTCCGGGGACTATAGCGCCACCGCAGAATTGCGAACTTCAAGGAAACTTCCGCCACCGCCTAAAGTATTTCCCACGCTCATGCGGCGTGGATTGGGTCTAAACTAGATGGCTAGGACTCACAGGCAGATAAAATGAAGGAAGCTGCAGGAGATGCGGTAGCTGCTGCTCCTGAGTCCCAGCCATCTAGTTTAGCCCCAATCCACACTGCCTGAGCGTGGGGGATACTCTTTGCAGTAGCGAATGTCACAGGATGCAGGACAGAAGTGCGCAATTGACACGTGACTGAGGCCTTTTGATAATTTAGGACCGTTATGCAGAGAATAGCCGTTTTCTGACAATATAGGGATTTGCTCAAATGTTTCCTGTTGTACATTAAAATATTATCAACATAAAGTGAAGCACAAAATATGAATCCTTTCACCGAACTGCACAGATCACATCGTCTCCACTTACCCTGTTCCATGAAGATTAACTACATTATTACCCTGGAGGTCTGAGAATTACCTTGTGATCTTTTGCTTACATAGTGTAGTAATCAGTTTGTGAATTTGATCTGCCTGAAATTGTCAACATTGATATTCTGATATATTGCAGGCTGCCTAGTCCCTCAAGAGTTTTGCGGTCAGAAAGAAGAGAACCCCCACCGCTGAGTCCATTAGTCAGTACACCAGTGCGGCCAATCAGGCAGCCAGAAATGGTTGATTCCTCATCTGCAGGACAGGCACACAGTGACTCGGTTGTGAGGAACTTGTTTAATAGCTGAGACGGATTCCATTCAGCCAGCATCCATTTGATTCATCTACATAATTTTTTTTCTCAGATACGTTTGACAGTCGGGTGTATCAACAGTGAAACCTTTTTTTTTTAATTGTTGCATTACAATATGCAGAACATTTCAAAAGACTGAACAGAAATGTATGGCCCTCTACACGAAATCTGACTAACAGGAGTCACTCTAGGAGACAAACTGTGGAGCACTTTCAAGTCCTCAGATGCATTGTCTTGTTTACGACCCGTGCCAAAATAGATGTGTAGCATATATTGATTGCTGATGACGAAGAAGAGCTGATCTTGCTCACAAAATTACACCTGAATTATCATATATTGATTGCTGATGACGAAGAAGGGCCGATCTTGCTTACAAAATCACACCTGAATTAGCATATGTTGATTGCTGATGACGAAGAAGGGCCGATCTTGCTCACACAATCACACCTGAATTGCTTTGCAAAGAATAAGGCAATTGGATTGGTTTATTTCATGTTTTCTACTGTATAAGGAAAATTAATAAATTTAAAAAAAAAGGAAAGAAATAAAGCAGTTATACAAAAACAGAGTTCATTTTGAAAGTTTTCTTTATTTGGTCTAAAAGGCTTCATATAAAACATGAAAAGAAATTTATAAAATATTAATTTTGTCATTTAAAAAAATGTTACAACTAAAAAGCCTGCAGCAAATGAGTAATATCTCTGCAGCAGTCTGACTGACTCCATGAGATGCTTCTCATTTTTGTGATGGCTTATATCAGCAGGGCAGCATGACAGACCTTTCCCCCCATGAGAATCTGAAAACATATTTTCCCAAGGCACATTAGACAGAAACGCATCCTCATCATTCCCTGAAACTCTAATCTAAAGAAAAAGGCCGAAGAAGTGTTTTGAGCCTAAGTCAGTTTTTTTTTTTTAATCCAGAGGGTTGAAATCTATGATGACCAAGAAGACGCAAACCTGGTAGCCGTGGCATCATCATGGCTGCCAAGTCACTATTAAAATAGTAATAAAGTCACGGTCATTTTTCCACGCTTTTAGGCACATAGGGCTAGACCTATATTTTTTATAGACCAATTGGCACAAGATGGGTGATGTCAGCATCACGCTAGCCGCCTTTACTTCACGGAACTGCACCCAGTACCCACTCAAGGCTGGGTCGACCTGAAAGTCAAGGTCATTTTTTAAAGAAAAAAATCTGGCTTTGCCAGGGAGCAAACCCACGGCCTTCTGACCCGCACTTGTATGTCTAGATGTTATGCCATGGTGACTCATTGTTAAAATAAATGTTTTTAATTGCTTTATAAAACCACAAAATTCAGCTGTATGTTAACTCTTTGAGTCCCAAGGAACGAACCATACTTTCACAGGTTCCTACCTAGCCCAGTTAATACCTGATGCACTGATTGTAAGTCTATATTTACCACCTTGTGCCTATGATGCTAAACCTACTGGCATTCAAAGAGTTAGGGTAAATAATTAGGAAATTCAAATGGAGCAAATAAATGTTTTCACTCCCTTCACAGCGAAAACATGTTTTTGTTTAGATTGCCACCTGGAGCCAGTGACTTCATCATAAGGTTACTTACTATGATGTCATAAAAGCTGTTTTTATTCTAAATAAAATGTCAATTTTTTTTTAAATAAGTAAATGTAATTATACTTGTAAAAGCACTATGCAGTTGCAATCAGTACCACATTTGTTATGACGGCATTAAAATTCTGACCAGCCAAAATCTTGGCACTCACAGGGTGACTGTTTAATTCCCTGAGGATTTACTCAATGACCAACCATTCCACTAGTAACATACATGAGCAAAACAGTTTTGGCATGTTGTTTGTGAACCACTCTTCCCTGTTGCCTCCGTTACACTGTGATTGTGCACCTACTGCTGACTGGCCCTGATATTGTTGACTGCAATCAGCCATGTTAATCTAGTGTGCTTATTTGATGGATTTTTTATATTTCATGCTGAATCTCTGTTTTTAAAACTTGCCTTTCTCAAATGTATTATTTTGCAATTTAACTTTGTTCATTTATGCCAGGTTTACAATAGCCTGTTGCTTTCTTTACTTTCTCTCTTAAATCATTCAGTGATCACTGTCTAATCATCGTCTTGTGCCTTGCCCAAAGGCATTTATCTCTCTCTTTAATGTTCTAAATCACTGTTATTGATCCCGTGGGGGGGGGGGGGGGTGTCACTGCTCCCCAACAAGCATGTTATAAGAATCTAGGATATTCCCTATAAATTCAGAATGCTTCTACTTGGAGGGTGAGTTACCAACAGTCTCCATACAACTAAGCCAGATGTGTAAAATGGATATGCATGCAAATTTCAAGTTCTGAAACAAGACCTCAGTCCAGAAATGGATGAACAACCAGAAGAAGAAGATTTCTTTTGGTATGTCTCATCCACCAGTGATCATTGTAGGCATGATGTTCTCCAAAGCCTTTCTCATCGCAAAACCCAAGAGGTCTTCTCCCTTTAATAATCACATAAAATTTTCTATTGCCATTAAGTGTTGTTTTTTTTCTATGTCCAAGCAATTGTTCGGTATCTTGACGGTCCGAGTTATTTGCATCATGTGTCTTAAAACTAGATCTATGCATTTATTTTTATTCATGCCCTCTGGAGATTATTCGTTTACAAGACCTAAGTCTTCAAGATACTTGCAATATGTTGTATGTTACACATATTTTTCTTATCAAGGTTGTGCATTGCTTGTTCATGCATTGTGATTATTATTAAATCCTTCCCAGTGGTCAAGACTAATGTATAATGTTGATTCTGTTTTTTAAAGACAGACATATGTTTGAGGTGTGATCAAAATGAAAACCTGTCCCAAAGGCAGACACTAACTTTGTAGATTCTAGAATGGATTCATGAGGTACATAATAGCTTGTAGATCCCAGAACAGGTTTTGAGATAATCACAGCTTGTAGATCCCACAATAGATTTTGAAATGCATCATAGATCTCAGAACAAATTGTGAGTTACATCAGAGCTTGTAAATCCCAGAATAGATTAGTGAGGTACATTATAGCTTGTATATACCAGAATGGATTAGTGAGTTCAAGAAACTTGTCTCTACATCCTAAGGGGGGGGGGGGGGGGGGGGGGGGAGTGGTGATGGCAAATGTGTTTTTTTAAATTATCCATATATTTAATATGTTTATGGAGGAGGGGGGAGTGGTGGACATTAAATTTTCTGCACTGGGCAACTTGGGGGGGGGGGGGGTGCGTGAGAGAAAAGATGAGGCAAGCTATGGGGGAATTACAATGTTAGCTAAAAATAGAACTAGGAAATCCAGTTGACGTCACTTTACTTAGCCCCACCATCTCCCAGTGTAATCCTAGTTTCTAGAAATCATGACCTCCTGTTGCTATTTATACTATTATTATTGCTGGTGGACTTGAAACAAAAGCACTCAGCACAGAAGGCTTCTCCCAATTATGCCATGCGTGCATTCATGGGTTTCAACACAACCCAACCCTTCCCTAGCCCTTAACAAGCCATTTCAGCCCTCACTTGAAACAACCGTAAACATTTAAAACTAAGGTAGCCGAAACCAGCCTAACTGCCCACAATCGCAGGTCTTCTGACGATCCCATTTTTGCGATCAAAATTTCAGGCTGATATGTCCTTTTCAAGGTCAGTATGTCATTTTCCAGGTGAAAAGCAAGGTTCAAGGTCAGGGCTGCAATTTCCAGGTCGGCTACGAACCCAGAAGGTTACTTATTAGGGATCTTTCCTTCCAAGTTAGGATACATGTGCCTGAGAGACAATGAACCAGCAGTCTGCATACAAATTAGCAAAATCTGAAAAAAGATGTGCACTCAAAACTCAAGTTCTGGAACAGGACCAAAGTCTAGAAATGAGTGAACAGCTGGATTTTCCCCCTGAGTTGACAGCTGCCACAAGCTGTATGAAGTGCTGAACAGTGTTAGTCACAGTGTCTTTCTCAATTATTGCAGCCTTATTGACAGAATTGCATCCAGCTTAATTCACATCTGACTGGTTATTTTTGGAGCCCTGGAAGCAGAAAGCTTCCAACTACAGTCTGGATTTATTTTCGTCTACTTCTTATGACATGCTTGTTAGGGGACAGTAGATCTATTTTATCCTCTATATAGTGTGTCCCCAGAACCTCAGTGTCTCTAACAAAAATGGGTTTTATTCTTCTCTGCCTGTTTGAGTAGTTTCCTTTCACCAAGTTCAGAGTAACATTGCTGTCCATACTCATGTGGTCAGAAGCTTATTCCTTCCATATTGTGTTTATGCAGAACATTTTTGTATCTTATTTGTATGCATCTGTGAGCACCAGTGACTGCAAATTCTACTGGCAAAACATAGCACCAGAGACCAAGGAGTAGGTTTGACTGAATCTCAGTTTTTTTTTAAATGACTAAACTTGATAGTACCTAGCCAGTGTGTTTGACAACCGTGCTTGCTGCTGGACTCGTCACCCTCATCCATGCAGACACTCGTTCACAACAGCACGACATGGATCTCTAGAAAATGTGGTCAATAATTTAATTGTATTAAATGTCACTAGTGTATTAAATATCATTTAAAGGAGCAATTCCCCCCCCCCCCCCCCCCCCCCCCCCCCCCCCCCCCCCCCCCCCCCCCCCTCTTGAGAAGACCATTTATATTTCAGTGGAACTAATTTCATTTATGCACTTCATCATTGTTGATGTATCTCTTTAGTAAATCATCAGATGAGACAGCGAAAAAAGCCTGGCAATAAAATGTGCAATGTAGTATTTGTGTCTGCATTATGTATGTAGTATCTTTGAATGTATAAAATATATCTGGCGTATTCTGACCATATGTCACTGTTATATTCATAAGTCGTCTCCGCTTTGTGTGGGATTCAAGGCTGCAATTAGGGTTGGGGTACAAGAATAGACCAACTACCTCCCTAACAAGTATGTTAAAAGAGTCACATAATAAGGGGGTTTCATACAAAGTCATAGTGCAGTTGCATGAGAGGCAGGAACCACCAGTCAGTATGCAAAAACGCCAGATCTGTAAAACAGATGTGCACCCAAAACTGTTAAGTTCTCGAACAAGACTAAGTCCAGTAGATGACTAACCAGAGCTTTCCACCGGAATCTGCCGCTTGTGAATTGCAAAGACGAAGATATTCATTGATTTTTAAAAAAAAAACATCAGATAAGCCAGCGTTTGTAAAATGTCAAATATTTATTTATTACCCACAAGAGCAGATCAATGGGACACACAATTCACGCTTTCAGGTAACTTTACCAACACTGAGGGAAACAACAATTACTGTTATAAAGAACATCACTGCATGAGAAGTTAAACTACTATACATATAATATTACAGTAATCCCAGCTTTCTCTCCATCATTGCATGTGGCTGCCCCATCACTTCACTGTCTGCAGGATCTGGAGAAGAGTACAATAGCATTTATCAATTTCTTTGTAGTATGTTGATGCATGACAAGCAAAAACGGTGCAGTGAGCAGAGGATCTGGCTGATGCTCAACACTCAAGGCAGAGAAAGGTGAGATAGATGTGATGCTCAACACTCAAGGCAGAGAAAGGTGAGATAGATGTGATGCTCAACACTCAAGACAGAGAAAGGTGAGATAGATGTGATGCTCAACACTCAAGACAGAGAAAGGTGAGATAGATGTGATGCTCAACACTCAAGACAGAGAAAGGAGAGATAGATGTGCAATCAGACTGTTACTGGTGTCAGAGCATGTATAGACATGTCCTGAGTGCTGTGACGTTGATCCTTAATTCAACACTATTATACATATGTGCTTGAATCCAGTGTCTAAAACATTTGAGAAATAATCCATGTATGGTCCACACTTGTGACATTTTACACTATTTAACTTCTGCTGCAAGAAATATATACTGAGGCATTTGCCATGCTCTTTCTTCCTGAACATTTCACGCCCATGATGTTCACTGCTGCAGATATAACCTACCTCCATTAATCTGTGGCTGGCCTTCTCTTTCCAGTTGGAGTTTGTAGGTGTGCCTGTATATGATCTCCCCGCCTTGCTGCTCCTAGCCTTTAAAAACAAATATTCTCTCCCTACACTGGAGACAGTTGGCTCAACTTGATGTGTGTATCTACTGCTGCCTTTGGGAATATTACATGGTGAGTCCCCAGTTTGTTTTACTACGTGGTTTTTGTATCACTGCCACCAGAAGTCCTGGGAAATCTTTCTAAACAGCAAACCACAGAAACTGAACCCTGGATTGTGAAACAAGGTCACTAATCTCTTCTGGACTTACTGCTATACTGTTACTGGTTTGTTAGGCTCTCAAATAACATTCAATGTTTTATGTAGCTGTGTAATACTGTATGTACTTATTACTGTAGCAGATTATGATTTTATGAATTCATGTTAAATAATTGTTTTCTTTCTAGTATTTCTTATTTGTTTATTTTCTTGCAATGTTATTATGCATACTTGTTATGTTCCTGTGATAAACTGCTATCTTCATGAATGCTTGCAAGCAAAAAATACACTTTGAAATTAATGCGTTGCTAGGCCTTATTAAAACTAAATTTAAAAAATGAGTGTTAACTGTTTTGTTTGCCAGAAAAGCTCCTAGATCACTATACTCAGAGGAAAGGCGAGACAGACATATAACTAGATTGTGACCGGTACCATTAGTATTGGAACTCTGCGCTGGCTGCTGAAGATGAGGACAGAGCACACATGGGAATGCCCTGAGCGCTGTGATGTCAATTCTTGACTCAACTCAACTGCACTTTACTTACCTGGATATTTTTTAGTGCCAATCTTATACTGTCCTGCGAGACAAAGTCACTTATAGAAAAAATATCCGCCCTTGTGTAGATTTGAAGCTAAGACTTTAAGGCTAGCAAGCAAGTTATCTAGCTACTGTGCCAACGTGGCTCCTAAAAGATACTGCGCTGCACCACAACTGTGTTGACACCCAAGTTTAGATAAATGTTTTCCTGTCTTATTTCTTGGAAAAGCTCCTTTATAAATCAAACACGCCAGACACTAGGATAAATCAAATACTTACTGTTGAGAAAATCTTCAAATCCGATGAGATCATCCCGGCCAGTCAAAGTATCCAACATGATATTAGAACTGTGTAGACAAGGAAGTCGCTGCATCTGAAATAATCACAGGCATCTTTTATTTAACAGCATTATGTCTTGACATTTAGCATGGACATCTATCTATAACTTCATCTAATACAGTAACTGACATCTGTTGTCTACATTCTTGAAAATAAGGGGTGGACTAACTGCATCTAATACAGTAATTGACATCTGTTGTCTACATTCTTGAAAATAAGGGGTGGACTAACTGTATCTAATACAGTAATTGACATTTGTTGTCTACATTCTTGAAAATGAGGGGTGGACTAACTTTATCTAATACAGTGACTCACATCTGTTGTCTACATTCTTGAAAATGAGGGGTGGACTAACTGTATCTAATGCAGTAATTCACATCTGTTGTCTACATTCTTGAAAATGACGGGTGGACTAACTGTATCTAATACAGTAATTGACATCTGTTGTCTACATTCTTGAAAATGAGGGGTGGACAGTCATGTTTTGAAGCCGTAATAAAATGATACTCATCACAAATGAACAAGAAATAATTGAACTCACTATAATGTATATGCACACAGTAAAACAATGCATGCACTATCTCCACAATAAAGGCTGGCTGCAATGTATCTCCAAGACAATGCTCTTGCCCTGGTTGTAGGCATTTTCATACTACTGTTGGTATCTGTATGTTATCCTCTCAGCAGCTGGCTTTCAACTTTCCCCTCTATATGGTATGGTTTAGAGCTGTGAGTCTTGTAATGCGACCCAAAAAATGTCACCTGTCATTTTAAAACTATTCTTAGTCTCTCTGAAACCTCTGTATTTGTATTTCTCATCATGGAATATTCTGTATGTCCACACCTCAGGATTGGCTTTTTTAACTTTTGATTGTTCATTAGCTTTTCTAAGCCATAACTCTCTTGGATTCACCAGCTGTAAGCTATGAGAGACAGCCCTGGTTGTTAGCCCATTTCGAGACTTTGGTCTTCTTCCAAGACGAGTTTTGCATGCTCATCTTTTTACAGATCTGGCTTATCTGTGCAGATCATTTGTTCCTCGCCTCTCATGCAGATGCATCTTGACTTTGAAGGAAATGTTGACTCTACTGAAGTTGAACAGGAACCCAATTTGGAACCCTGTTTCTAGGATAACCGCGAAGTTGTAAAGAGATCTTGACCAGTACGGGCCCTAAGCACCCCCTAAGCCATGCGTTTCCAGACCATGTGCCATGACCCCAAATGAAATTGCAAAGGTTTTCTGTGGATTGCTAGGCAGTGATAAGCTGTGACATGGGTTTTTGGTGCTTCTTCAGTTGAAAAACAATACAGGAAACAGATTCAATGTTGAGAATAACACAAGGGGTGTAAGAATTTAGACCAATACATTCTAGGATATGACAGGATGAGATGGCCAGTTTCTTCACACATCAACTGGCAACACATTCTCTCTCACACACACACATATTATATATAAAACAAATTTAGACAATTTCCACAATATTCTCAAAATTAACTAGGACTAATTTTGTATGTGGCTGGGTGGAACCAAAACTGTCACTTAAGGAGACTGAACCTGGACCACTGTTTTGACAGGCAAGCACACTTCACTATTATGCCACCATGGCTCCATATTGTTAACTGCACTAAAAACTCAAGCACTGACTGATTAACAATTAACCTCAATCAGAAGACAGTAGCAGTAAGCTGACATCATAGATGAACAAACACTTACCCTTGAAACAGCAAAGATTTCCATCTGAAGCTTGAGTGGTGCATGGATGCCCTGAGAGTTCTTCAACATGGCAAAGTCCATTTTTAACACATTATTCTGCCACTGGAATAATATGTTTTTCAAAATAATAAAATCCATTTGGAAAATATATTTTAATCATAACAGACATAATCAGCCAATCACATCTCTTCCATAAATGTAATATGTTAGATGCAGTACACACAATGTGTTTCTTGTTTAAAAATGAATCACGGATAATTAGCTAATGACAAAATTGTGTGGAATTGCAAAGATGTTTTATATAAGAATGACGAGAACACCAGGGATATATTTAACCCTCTTAGCACGGACGGGCCGATTATCGGCCGGCAGATGTCTGGCCAAAAACACGGAACGGCCAATCATCGACCCGATCGTGTTTCGCCTCGAGCCGCTAAGAAATCTCCTATTTTGAAACACTGAAAGTGATTCATTTATATTAACTGCTGTATCAGCTTTACACATGGCGACTTTTGAGTGTTTGGTATCGAAGTGAAATTTGTTGTTGAATTTTTTAGATAGTGACCTGAACCGCTAAAAGTATGTCTGACTCGTATGTTTCTGCCCCTAAACTTGTTGATAAAACATTTGAATCAAGTGATGACACTAATTCTGTTGATACTGATGCAGGATTTAGTGTTAGTAGTAATAGTGGGAATCAGATGGGGACGCTGTTGTGTTCAGACCACAGCCCAACCATGGCTCAGGGTATATCCACCCGAAGGTGTTGAAACTCCGGCACATCCATTTCTTGTGCTGACTGATGGTGAAAAACACATGTCACCTAAAGATATTATTGCTGTTTCATATATATATATATATATATATATATATATATATATATATACCTGTTTTTGACTATTGAATTGCTTACAACATTTGTAAAAAGGCCAAAGATCAATAAAAAGATTTTAAATAAAAATTTTTTGTTTTTAGTTTTATGCTTCAAGCATTGAAGTTGAAAATTCAAATTCAAATTTTCTTTTTTTAGATATGCAAATGAGATAATTTGCATATACATCAATTAATTTTAACGATATTGTGAAAATGATGAACTTCAATCTATATCCTTCAAATAGATATATTATTTCATGGGGGTCAGAATAACAGAAATCTGTCAAAAAAATTAAATAAAGTAATAACCAAATTCACTGAAAAAATGCTCCGTGTTTTTGGCTAGACCTCTGAAAAACTTCCCGTGCTAAAAGGGTTAAAACAAAAACTATAAGAAAGGTGTCTTGAAAACAGTTCTCTGCTCTTGAGGCCAAGTTTATCTTCGTAGTTGCGAGTATAATGGGTAGGCCTGCAGAATGTGCTCAGGTGACTGTGGCTCCATCTGACATGCACACTGTGGGGACTGTACAGTCTTTATGTTATGCATGTGGTAGTTGAGACTGCAGTGTCCTGTTTGTTCTTCAACGGAAAACTGTTGTATACTGAGTCTGTTGATGATGGGGTCTTGTGGACATTTACTGTGTAATTCTCCCTAAAAAGTTATTGTATTTCTGGTAATGACAACAAATATGTGTGCTGTTTCTCTGTTCTATTCTTTGCAGGTTGGTCTGCCAATTTATTTACTGATGCGCCATAGTGAGCCAGGATGAGAAATGACTGACATTACACAAGACAGAAATATGTAGACAGAGGTAATTACCACCTATAAATGGCAGGCACTATAAGCAGTGCTTTAGGAATTGTTCCTTTCAGAAACAGCTAGACCTATACTAATATTTGTGTATAAGGGCGCTGTATGAATGCTGTCCATGTACCACTGATATCTGTTTGGGTGGATAACAGATGGCCAGTGCAGAAACAATCAGGAGGCAAAAGGGTGTACTTAAAGCTTCTGAATATGTTGCTCTACACATCTTAATTGTACTTTTCCCATTTCTATAAAACAAATTAATGTTTAGTAAGACTCTAGTAAGGGGTTGCCTATCCTTTACAGGACCTTGTAGAACCAACCTCAACAGGCCCTGGCTGTTGTGTGGTTTTTCTAGGCAAATTTACATTAGTAGTTTGCCACTGCTTTCTAAATGGTCGGCTTTCTTGATACCACTGTCAAAACCAACACAAGGTGCATGGCCCGCAGCTGGAATCGAACCCGGAATTACGAAACGTTCGCATCGACTTAGCCATAGAGCCGACAATAAGATTTTAGGACTTTCATATTTATCTGTACAGTGTAGACAGATCCATGGAGCAGTGGCGACATTTTATGTTTATAGTGGCAATCTTAGATACATATTTGTATATATAAACTAGGGACAAGACAACCGCGTTCAAACAGTCTCACACGGTTCATGTCATGTAAAAACAATTTAATATAAATATCTAGTTCAACTCTCAGGTTATAACTTTGGATATAAAGTTTTGAATTTTCAAGTACATTTTTTACATGTGTACATATTGTAGAAAATAATTTCAGATTTCATACAGTTTGTATAATTTATTTGAAGTATTGTCCCATTCACATCTTTTGGATGTGATCAGGACATATATTGTACATTATGTATTTACATAATCTTAAAAACACTGACAGTAAAATAGTGGATTTATTAATTTATTATTATTATGCCCTTCACCTGAGTGGTTACAACATCGGACTTTTTATGCGGGAGACCCAGGTTTGAGCCCTGGTAAGGTGATGGAGTTTTTCTTTCAGGGGCAAAAGTAAACCTCCTAACCTGTGCAGCCTGTGGCGACATACGGCCCTAGATCCTCAGGCTCACGACCTCCCTGTCTACACGGCCCTAACAAGGTGGTGAATCAGACAGTAGTGACAGTATACCTTTTCCATCCGTAGCTGTTGATCATCCTCAGTCTGAAGCTTTAGAAGTGATTATCTTTATAGACTACATGGGAATTTTCTTACCTTTCTATATATGTGTATTTTAGTATATCATTTAGAACTAGGAGACAAAAAGATGGGCGATGAGAGGTATGGAAACTACTAACACAAGTGTAGTAAATATATAGCCATAAAGTTGCACTAATTATAAGGTTTGTGTGAATGCTGAGGTGTTCAAAAGAAAATCGGCCACAAGGCAGGCATGGGAGGTTAAAAACAAGACCTACAGGATGACCCAGGGTGTGCTGGGAAGACAACATCCGACAGTCCCTAACTGACAGAGGACTGGAATGGAACAAAGCCAGAAAGAAAACTGCTGATAGAGACGTCTGGCGATCTCTGGCAAACCTCTACACCCCAAGGTAGAAGAGGAGCAACTAAGTAAGTAAGTAAGTAAGTAAGTGAGAAATCAAAAAACCAAAATATACACGCATATCAAATACTTCCACCTTGAGAATGCTTGTTTTGAAAGAACAATAATAGAAGATCCCCGAAACGAACACGGGTTGACATGCACAAAGATGAACACAGGATACTGAAGACTTCCTGGGTATAAAGATACTCCTTTTGTCATCTCACTGATACCAGGTTGTAGCACAGTGATGTGGTTGAAGACACGAGCCAAACTGGAAAGTCAGTCTTTCAACTGGGCCATAATGGAAGTAATGCTCTACAATGGACCTGCCACATCATGACGACAGTGTGTCCCAGATTTAGTACAATTGCATTCATGGTTATGTAGATTAGCCCACGTAAGAGCCTTTCATAGGATGATGAATATTCTGTGCAATGTCTTGGAGAGTCCTCAAGAACTATATAGAGCCAATGATGATATATGAAAAGGTGTCATGGGCAAAAAGTAAACTATGGAGTAATGTTTACAAAGTTTACGGAGATTTATAGAAAAGATCACAATATCCAGATAACAAGTGCAAAAACATTGTCTTGCAAGAAATCACCTCACAAAGATAAATGGTGACCTGCATCGCAAGAAATCAATCCACGTTCTTTGGGCACATCATGAGAACAGAAAACCTAGAGCATGTGGGGACAACAGAAGACATGGAGACAGGCAAGGAGTCTAAGTGAGGGAAGTTGGTTTGGCATCACAGCACAGAAAAATATATGGTGCAGACCACTTTAGGTGAAATCGGAAATGGTGAAGAACAATTTCTTTATCCCTGGCAATTTTTATTGCTAGAATTCTTATCTGGATGGGAGACATTTCTGATAAGAAGAACAATTTCTTGGGTTCTTGGTCTGTTCTGCACTGTATATCAATAATTATTGCCAGCCCACTTAGCAGAAGGTGTAAAAGACATGATGAAACATGCCATACAGCATGGGTGTCAAGGAGACATCATACACACTACAGAACTACCAAAACCAATAGCCCAACCAGCAATTACAAGTGTTTCAATAACCCAACTGCAAGCTATTACATTGCTCTCTGAAATAATGACAGCAAATAAACACATTCCCAGAATGAGCAAACATTACCAATCCTTCTTAGTGCAAATTACAATCCCTGAAAGGACAACATATTACCTGTTCCTCAGTCGCCTGCAGAGGATGGACCGACTTCAGTCCCTGGGAAGCTCTGCTTGCCTGCAGCCTGGGTAAACATGATAAATGTCATGTTTTCAGTGGGAAACAAACAAACCTTACAAGCTGTCATTTGTTTACTGTTCAATAGATATGTTCATAAACAAAAGTGTTGTTTACAATCAGTTCGTCACTAGAAGTCAGCAAAAGTATTCTTAAACATTACACAGAAACAACATAATGTGTCAACATATAAGAAAATTATATGAGAGCATTTAAATGTTTTACTGGCGACTGTTTTTCCATTTATCACTCACAGAATACCAGCAATAATTTTGCCATCATTTACCCTTTTCATCTATAAATGTTGAAAGAAAAATTCTTTAATATCCAAGGATCAAGAAGAATTATAATACTGACTTTCTACAAGCAGTGAACACTGCAGAAAACAAGCTCACAAACAGCAACATACCTTGGATACAAATACTTTTGGCCATGGTAATTACAACAGGAGCTTAGATAAAGTTAAAGGGTCAAAGATTTGCACCTGGTTGTATACCCCTACAGCTAGGTCTAACTCTGCCTGCCAAGCGCACAGCACAAGGCACAAACTCTGTAGCTTTAGCGGTGATCCCCTGGGACCTATGTAAGAACTGCACTAGTGAAGTGAACCCAGGAGTTCCCAGTGTAAGGCAAACAGCTTGACCACTTTGCCACAGAGACTCCAATAGCAGCATAGAAAGGAGTCAGAGAAGGTTTGTACCTGAAAGAAATGGCAGAGACGGACCAGCAGAAAAGCTTACACCTGATACAAGGATTCCTGGACATGAACAAGTGACACTCAGGTGGGCCAGGATGGGTGCAATATTCTGCAGAGGACCCATTACATGATGATTTAAAAGAATAGGTTGTGAACACATGTAATTAACAAAAAAACAGTGATCTACCAGTGGTACACAATGATGGGCTAGTCCCTGCAAATCTACTAAACATAAGAACTAACCCAAACATCATTGCATCTGGAACTCCATGTAGACCTTTAGGGAGGTCAACAACCTGACTGGCATCAGACTTTGGACGAAGACTTGGGTAGCCACTCTAAAGACAGAAATGTGTCCACAATATATAAACAATGTTAGTGAGTTAGGCTTTGTCAAGTAAACAAATAAGCAAGCAGTGGTAACTCTCCAGTCACAGGCCTTTGTACAGTGGTGCACCTTGGGTATGTGTGCCAATGAAGGGATGAAGCACACACACACACACAAAAGTGGCAGCATCTTATCTGCAGGGACCAGAATGAGTTTCACTTGGTTAAAGAAGTTTAGAAGTGTCCTATGCTATAAAAATATGAAACTCATCCCTGATCAGCACCTTACTACATCAATTTAAAGAGAAAATATTTAAAAAAAACTGATAAATAGCTTTCTCAAGCTACCCACATTTTCTAACAAAGTTGTGCTATATACTCCAGGCATGCTCCTGCCTTTGAAACACTGTAACCACAAAGTCTACTTTTATGTCACAATATGAAGTAGAAGTACCCGATGACCTTTTGAAATCTCTTTTCATACCTTTATCAAACACATCAGTTGCAGAAGGAGAGCATCCAACAATTATGAGTCACATAAATCAAATATTAATGAGAATTATCGTGAGAAGAATAAACTGCAACATGAAACCAGAAACTGGAGAAGAGCAGTGTAGTTTTGCTGAAGGTAAAGGCACAAACAATGTCATATTTATCTTCAGAACACTTTCAAAAATAATGACTGAAATGAACAGAGATCTGCATCTGATAAAGGGAAGCAAAGAAATTATTCAAATTCTAGAACATTAAACATTGACGGTAAAGATCTGAGAATAAATAAAAACATACAATGGCAACAAGAAGCAGCCGTAAGAATTGACAACCAAGTTTAAACTTTTCAAAACATTAAACAAGACTTCAGGGATGTGTACTATTACCCGATATATTAAATTTGTAGTCAAACAAGATCTGAAAATGATTTTAAAAAACATACTGACATTAAGTGGCAACAACAAGCAGCTTTAAGAACTGACAATCACGCTGGAACTTTTCAAAACATTAAACAAGAGTCTGACAGGGATATCACCCAATTTTTTTTAATTTGTGCAGTGAAATGATAATTAGATCCATACATGGTATGCCAAGAATATAATTTAGTGGGGATATTGTTAACAACTTCCAATATGCTGATGATATAGCTTTGCTGGCTGAAAACACACAACTACAAGAATTGATTGACATAACTGAAACAGAAATTCAAAACAAGGGTCTTAGTTTGAACAGCAGAAAAAATAGATTGATTACAAAGAAAACTGACCCTCCAAAATGCAACATCAAAGTAAATTGGACAAACCTTAAGCAAGTTTATATGTTTAAGTACCTGGGTACCCTGATGACATCAGAGGGAAGAGGTATTAAAGAAGTCAAATGTAGAACAGCTTAAGCAAAGGCAGCATTTTACAAAACAAAGAATATTTTATGCAATGTTTCTTTGTCAACTGAGACGAGAAAGAGAACACTTAAAAGCTACATAAACCATATCCTGATATATGGAAGTGTATCATGGACATGTGGTTTTTTTAGAATTCCCTAGACAGATAAAAAGAGTAATGAAGATGTCTCGAAAGAAACTGACTCACAAACAGAAATGACTGCCCACATCAAAAAGAGACCATCTACATAATCTGCTTATGTCATAAAAAAAGGAGAAACTGGAGTATATTGTGACAGTAGGAGAGCTAGAGGGATAGACATGACTACCAATGCCACAGACTTTAAGAAGAAGAATAGTAGAAGTTGCAAATTTAAGAAAACTGGAGTACATCATGATTGAAAGTACACAAGACAGAAGGCTGTGGAAAGACATGACCATTAATGCCACAGACTTTAGGAAGAATAGTAGAAATAGAGAAAACTGGAGTACACCATGACAGTAGGAGAGTTGGAGGGGGAAGAGAGGCAGAGGGAGAGCGAGAGAAAAGATGCTGGACAGTGTGACATCACGGCATGGAGGATCAGAGCTGATTGAAAGTACACAAGACAGAAGGCTGTTCATAGACATGACTACAAACGCCGCAGACTTTAAGAAGAAATATAGTAGAAGTAGCACTGTGGTTAGCATATTTAATATAAATATCCTGTTCAACTCTCAGGTTATAACTCTGCATATAAAAAGTATTAAATTTTCAAATATAATTTTACATTTCTATATATTCTATAAAATAATTTCAGATATTCATAGTTTGTATAATTTATTTGAAGTATTGTCCCATTCACATCTTTTGGGTGTGATCAGGACAGATATTGTTTGTACAATATGTATTTACATAATCTTAAAAATACTGACATTAAATAGGGGATTTATTATTTTTTATTATTATGCCCCTTCGCCAGAGTGGTTACAACGTTGGGTTCTCATGTAGGAGACCCAGGTTTGAACCCCTGGTAAGGTGATAGAGTTTCTGTGGGGGGCAAAAGTAAACCTCCTAACCTGCGCAGCCTGTGGCGACAGCACTAGACATATGGCCCTAGATCCACAGGCTCACGAACTTCCTGTCTACACGACCCAAACAAGGTGGTAAAACAGACAGTAGTGCCAGCATGCTCTTTCCATCCATAGCTGTTGATCATCCTCAGTGTGAAGCTTTAGAAGTGATTATCTTTATAGACTACATGGACATTTTCTGACCCTTCCATTTATTTATTTTAGTTCTAGTAATAAACTGCTTTATCTTGCCACACACCTCTAGGGATGTTTATATGCAACATTAACAAAATAACATGTAACACAATCTTTGATTCCTAATCCAAACATTCTTTCTTTACCTAATGCCACACTTAATAAATGCGTGTGTAGCTACTCAAATATTAAATAAGGTGCTAATTGATAAAATTTTAGGCTATCCTCAGAATAACGGCCACATATTATGGCAGCCAAAAACGCACCCTGACAGAGCCTTAGTCACACGTAAATTGCGCACTTCCGGCAACTATACCGCCACCGCCGAGAGTATCTCGTGCGACGCGGGGCTAAACTAGATGGCTGTGACTTACAAGCAAAGCTGCAGGAGATGCTGAAGCTGCTGCTCGTAAGTCCCAGTCATCTAGTTAAGCCCCGTGCCAGATACTCTCGGCGGTGGCGGTATAGTCACAGGAAGTCCGCAATTTACATGTGACTGAGGCCATGTTTTTGGCCGCCATAAATATAATATGTGGCCGTTATTCAAAGATAGCCAAATTTTAATACCCATGCATTCATTACTGTAAATTTTAAATACTACTACATTACTACAATAATACCTTGGATATTGTACCACAGCACTAGACCACTGGTTTCAACAAAATAAAATTATGTCTTGAAAATGTCAAAATAAAATCAGGCAATCCTTGCAAAAGCGACCTTGCTAGGGAATGCAATCAATGTAATGGTTGTTCACAGCAACGGTGACAATCCACTGTTTATGTGCATTCATTCAACAATAATATTCTTTAATATTGTTTGAGATTACTAATCTGATTAACATAAACTAAACCCTTACCCTAATCAGATTAGTGATTAGGGTTAGGGTTTAGTTTATGTTTTGAGTTTTTTTTTGTGTGTGTGTGCTCGGGTAGGGGGTTAGCCCCAACTAGAATACATTAATACAACAATGTATATAAAAGTTTAAAAGTGAATGAGTAACTAAACTGGCCTAACCTCAAAGTCGGCTCTCCTCCAAACTTCTACCCCCGCATTATGGCGGCAACAAAAATCCTTTTATGGGGCTCAGTCCTATTAAAAACATGGAAACTTCTGGTGACGAACGAATCGCGGCAAAACTAGGATCGGCTCCGTATAACGAAAGAAATGCTCTAACCGGGTCTCAGCGATATGTTAATTGCGGACCTGTTTCTGTGACTATGCCTCACTGCCGACCGTATCCCCCGCGCTAAACTAGATGGCTGGGAGTCACGAGCAGCAGCTACTGCATCTCCTGCAACTTCCTCCAATTAATTTGCTTGTGAGTCCCAGGCACCTAGTTTAGGCCCCATCCGCGCCGGCGCCGCTACGCACGGCTCAGGGGATACTGTTGGCGGTGAGAGAAACCGTGTTTTGCGCATTCCAAAAAGTTTGAGGGCAACGAGGACGCTAATCTGCGTCGACGCACGTGGTCTCCCCGCCATGTGGCTGTTATCGTCAGTAATGTTGTATGTCTTAAAATTGTCAATGGTTGCTAGTATCGTCTGCAAGTATCGTCTGCAGAAACGCTCGAAAGTGTCAACGGTCGCTATTATCGTCTGCAGTGTTGCGTCTCTTGAAATTGTCAGGTAATCATAGTTTTGCCGCGATTTGTTCGTCGCCGGAAGTTCGCATATTTTTTTATAGGACTGAGCTCCGTGAGGATATTTGTTCGGCTTGTCAACGGTCGGTATTTATCGTCTGCTACTAGTACCGTGTGCAAATATTGATATTGGCTGTCAAGTAATCCTAGTTTTGCCGCGATTTGTTCGTTGGCAAAAAGTCCGTATTTTAGATATACGCGAACACCGTCGTTCGGATATTTTTGGATATTTTATGGCCAGAATGTGGCATGCCGCCATTTTGGGGAATAAATCAAAGAAGCGCCAAACTAGTTAAACTAAATTAAAACTTCGGCGCTTCTTTGATTTATTCCCCAAAATGGCGGCATGCCACATTCTGGCCATAAAATATCCAAAAATATCCGAACGACGGTGTTCGCGTATATCTAAAATACGGACTTTTTGCCAACGAACAAATCGCGGCAAAACTAGGATTACTTGACAGCCAATATCAATATTTGCACACGGTACTAGTAGCAGACGATAAATACCGACCGTTGACAAAAATTTCGAGCGTTTCTGCAGACGACGATACTAGCAGACGATATTAGCGACCGTTGACCAATTTCGAGACATTAAAGACGATGAAAGCCGATTAGCAATACTGTGTTCTTCCGATTGGAGCGGTAGATGTCAGACTTGTCGGCATGCGCCAAACGCGATTAAACTCATCGCCGAGCGTATCTAGGTGCCTGGGACTCATGAGTACAGTAATTGGAGGAAGTTGCAGGAGATGCGGTAGCTGCCACTCGTGAGTCCCAGCCATCTAGTTTAGCCCCCATCCGCGCCGCGCGTAGCGGCGCGGGGGATACGCTCGGCGGTGAGGCACACTCGCAGAAGCAGGTCGGCAAGCAACGTATGTCAGAGCATTTGTTTCGTTATTCGGAGCCGGCACATATATTTTTAATAGAACTGACCCCGCATTCGGATATTTTTGGATATTTTATGGCCAGAAATTGGCCAATTTAGCTCCTTTTTGAACGCCATCATATTATAGATGCCATTTTGGGGAACGATTCAAAGAAGCGCCAAAACTTCCTTGCCTTTTGAGAGTCACTCTACCTAACACTGGAAATTATGCCACAGTTTTATTTATTTATGACTTTAAAAGGTAATTAGCCAGTTTCATGTGAAAAGATAACAAGATTAAATTCAGCCTATGACTTGAAACCAACTAGCTCAGAAGTAACGGATAAATATCTTAGGCACAAACACTCACCATTTTTCTTGACTCGACGATATTGAAATGGCGACTTCCGGTATTACAGGTCCGCATTAAAAAAACCCCACTCATTTGTACATGAAATAAATAGTGAGATAGCATAGTGAAAAAATAATACTTAAAATATAACATATAATTTAATATACATACTAATGCATTATTTCCTTATAAAACTGATTATTGTTTTCAATGAAATTATTGTTGAACACTCTGTGACGCTTCCAGGTCGACCCAGCCTTGAGTGGATGCCAGGTACGGTCCTGGGAAGTAAAGGCGGTCCTTGTGATGCTGACCACATCACCCTCCGAGTGCCGTTTGGTCTATAAAATATAGGCCTAACCCTGTATGCCCAATACGCCTGGAATTATATAGCTTGAGTAGCAACCTGGAATCCAGTATGTTTGGAGTGATTAAAAATATTTCAACCGGCAACTTGTCTTGCCAGAACTCCCTCAATGAAGAGACGTGTAGACAGTATTGCTTAACAGCATCCTTACTTCGAATTGCTATTCTTTGTGCGCTGTGTTTGTGAGAATCCAGGCAGTTGAAAAGTGGTATTATACACACGCGTGTTGTATCAGCATGTCTGTTAATCAAATATGAGTGTGCAGATATCGCTAGGTAATCAGAATGAAAATTGATTGCCTAATTACAGAGCACTCGGCATTTCGAGGAGAGGGGAGAGAAAGAGAGGGGGGGAGAACGAGAAGGAGAGAGAGAGAGAGAATATCAGAACAAAAGAAAATATGGAAATACAGTGGAATCTCGATTAACGAGCATAATTGGTTCCAGAACCATACTCGTTAAGCAAAACATCGTTATGCGAAACAATTTTTCTCATATCAATTAATGTAAAATGCGATAATGCGTTCCATGTCGAAAAAAAAGTACTCACAAAATGCTATTAAAACTTTTATTCAAAGAAAATTATGAACATATTGTTAAGAAGAGTGAATCATCTTCATCTTTTCTTCAAACCCACCTGGAATGCGAATTCGATTTGCAGAAAAAAAAGTCGAAATAATTATGATACATAGCTAATTATTTATTTTTTTTACTAGAAAGATGCCCAGAGACATTTGTTTTTACCAACGCTTCAAAATTTGGCGAAAATGCTACACAGCATTACCATTAAATAAATTTGCAACGCGCATAGCCAGTTCCTTATTAGGGTGATGCTTCTCAATGTAAGATGCAACAGTTTGCCATGCTTTCAGCATTTCTCTTATTTAGCCAGAAGATTGTTGCTTTTCTGCTACCTCCTCCTCCTCCTCCTCTGACAAACTTCCCTCCAAAACTTGTTGCTGTGAAACACAATGCAACTCCATTAGCTCTTGGATGGTCAGCTCTTGGCTGTGCTCTTCCACAAGCTCTTCGATATTAATGTTATCCACTTCAAATACCATGATAGTGGTCAAAGACGCAAACTCGTTGACTACAGGTTCCACAGGTACTGTCTCGAACCCCTCAAAGTCACAAATCGACAACGGTCTCAGGCCAAAGCTTCTTCCAAGCAGAAGTTAGGGTTCTTTTGGTAACCCCTTCCTTATCGATCATCCTGAGGCAGGCAACGACGTGGAAGTGGTTTTTCCAAAACTCTTTGAAAGTGAGGTTGGTCCCTTCAGTCACCTGAAAACAATTCTCGAAGAGTGCTTTAGTGTAGAGCTTCTTAAAGTTAGAAATAACTTGCTGGTCCATGGGCTGGAGTAACGGAGTGGTGTTAAGAGGCAGAAACTGGATCTTGATGAACTGAAATTTTTCAGAGAGGTCATCTTGTAGGCCTAGATGATTCATGTACATATATCACAATATAACACAAGTTTGAGAAAATGTGTGATCACAAGCGACACTACGATGCTACTGGAACGAGTGCTAAACACAGACTGATGTAACATGCTCACAATTCGGGACTTTCCCTCTCCTCGCCACTCGTTATGCGAAACGTCGCTCGTTAAGCAAGTAATTTTTTTTTTTTTACAATTTGTTCTGCTCGTTATGCTAATTACTCGTTATGAGAGGTGCTCGTTAAGCGAGGTTCTACTGTAACTATGGTGGAGGGCTGTAGTACTAGATTACAGGAGATAGAAAATAACACGGTTCCCCCAGCGCAATGCGGATACCTTTATGTTATATTGCATAACACATTTCCAGTCTCTCCCATTCTCTCTCTCTTTCATTTCCTCTCTCTCTCTCTCTCTCTCTCTCTCTCTTCTCTCTCTCTCTCTCTCCCTCCCTCTCTCCTCTCTCTCTCTCTCTCTCTCTCTCTCTCTCTCTTCTATCTCTGTCTACAACTCTCTTTCTCACTGTCTACATCTCTCATATTAATTTTTTCTTTAGTATCCAGAAGTCATGAGTTGTTAACCCTTAGGCTCGGTATTATGGATATCGCAACCCTTCGGCCTTGATTCCATGCATAATGTGCATATTACTATATGAACATAACATACTTTATTTATAAAATACAAGTGCTGTGTCTCAATCTCCCCCCCCCCCCCTTTCCCCCTCTATTGACATTAATAATGTCGACGAAATCCATAGGCTGGTTATTTGCAACTATGGCAGAAGTAACCACCCTGTCAGCTTTTTCATTACCATCATTGCCCGCATTAAAAAAAAAAAAAAACAGTGAAACGTCGAAGCAACTTAGACTCATAGAAGTATAGAATTGTATTTTACAAGCATTCACCAGTGCTCGCAGACGTAGGTAAACGATTATTGTGCTCATTAGACAATACAGCCATCGTGGACAACATCTGTAACAGAACCTGCCACTTAAAAATGACGAACGATATCGCATAGGTTTAGGAAGTGTTCTTTGAAGCACAACTAGACACTTCTTGTCATTAGCAATGTCTATCATCTACTGGCATCCACACTGTAGAATATTGCTGAGTCGACCTGGGGAGTCAAGATCATTTTTGAAAAAAAAAAAAAAGCCAGGCTCACCAAAAAGGACTATAACTTTTTTTTCTTCAAATCCCCCCCCCCCCCCCCACCCCCTCCGCTCCCCCATACATATATGCGCACCGCTTCAATGAGTCCTAACACCTGTATTTTGGGAAATAAGGCCCTTGGAGGCCATTCAGACACTTCTAGCACATTGTTCTACTTATTTTCCTGCTTCCAGCTATGTTTCGTTTGCTAAAACACAACAGTCCTTTTCGCTATTTTTGGGCACAGGTAACCCCAGGAAAAAAAAATGTAAAATAACAGAACACATCAAACTTGCTCGAAAGTCGTCAATGAACAGCCCACATGTGCAAGAAATGTGAGAAGCAGTCTGACTGGCTGTTACGAAAGACCGATCGGCCCAGTCATCCTTTTGGCTACTTTGTGTTGGGCCCACATTTCGGCCGCGTCGTCTCCAAAGGGTTATTTATTTGTCATGCTATATCAATGGTTGCAGGTTTCCCTGCGATGTCGCTCGACTTAACATAATATCGCGTTTGTTTCAGCTAATGTGTAGGCATTTGGCCAGGAGTGTTCAGCTGAACTGACTAGCCTACTCCGTCTCGCAGAGAAGGCGAAGTTTTGACTGGAAGCTTCAAGAAGCACTTCAGAAATCAGGGCAGCAAATCTTGATGGCAAAACTAGGGACAGGACCACAGCGTTCAAATAGTCTCACACGGTTCATGTCTTGTAAAAACAAGTTGCTTTCATTGTGTAGCTCTGTGTGAACTATTCTCTGACCCAAAATTAGGAGAAAAAAAAATTATATTCTTATGCCTATGATTACATTAAAAGTTATATTTTTAAAAACTGTAAATCTCGCTAGGAGTCATTTTAGTAAATAATTTAGCAGCGTGCATTTTATATTAACTAATACATTTTTGTGTAATGTTTCCTCGTGGTATATAAAAGTCGGCGTCTGTGTCTTCAGATGGGGAAACAGTTTCATAATCCCGACAAACCTAGTTTGTAAGTCAACTGGAGGTGATCTGGTAGTAGACCGTCTTGTGTCGACTTTTACACCGACATGAGCGTCATACCGTTCCCAAACAGTGGTAAACTATAGAATGCAAAAGATTTTCGTATCCTTACAGAAAACCAGTCTTAGCCAGCGTTGTCAAATAGACATAAATATTGTGTTTTCTACATTCAATGTACAGCAAACAATAAGCATGATGCTGACAATTTAAACTGGAATGCTTATCACAACTTTAATTTCAGTAGCTGCAAAAAAGGATTTTTTTTTCGTGTATGGGAACTTCCATTTGTTGGATTTGTAGGAAACAGAACATCAGAGAGTAGATTGTCAGTATGCTGCAGATAATATTAGTTCTTGTTGCTGGCTTTGGTAAGTGCACAATTATTGTCTATATAAATGTTCACACATATTCTTCAGACGTAGGTCTAGTGACTATAGAAACAAAGTGGCGACACAAAGAAAGTGACACACTAGGACTTCTGGGCTTGTATTTGCATAGACCAAAAAATTCTCAATTGATGATGTAGTAAACATCTCGGGTGTCTTTACTTCGCATGACATTTTCCGGTACCCATTTTAGGCTTGGTCTATCTTACGGTGCCTCCCTTTCCACTGATTCAAAGAAAAAGACAGTCCCTCTCAAGTCTAGTAAATCAATGTCCACGCCTCTAAGACTCATCGGGGATATGGTGTTTGACTCATAATATCGGTGTCATAATCTCACACGTAGGCGGTCGTTGTAACTCTGGTAGCCTATAATTTCGAAAGGAAATACCTGATGCCTAGTGTCAGCTGATTTATCGAGTCCAGATCGACATTGGAGAAAAAAGCAGTCTTGTATGTAACAATGGAATCCTGTGTCTCCAAAGTGGCCAGCCAACTGTTATAGGTATCAGGTCCTGATCTTCTATGTCATACAATATATAAACATACAACAAGCACTGTGGTGTCACGACCGGCCGGTCGTGGTGGTGAAGTAGCTAGTTCACGTGCCTGCCTAGAAATTGGTCCTGTTTTAACTCTCAACAGAGGCAAGATTTTTTTTTTTTAAATTGTTTTACCTTTACTACTC